CGCTCGTCCACCCCCATCTTATTCGCCATTTTCCCGTCCTCCAAACGCCTCAGTTTTCGGCTTCCACTGATCCGTCCCCACAGTCATTGGCCAGGGCTCTTTCAATTCAATAGTGGCCGTTTCTAATCAACAAGAAAGATAAAATCATTGCGGCTAACGCTAACCTAACAGCCGCTAACGAATGGGCGAGTCATGGCTCAAACTGTGTTGTAAGCAGTACGAAGAAGCATTGTCAAGGGGAATGCCTAGGCCGTGTTTTTTTTTTTTAGCAACTATGCTTGATATTTACTACTCACACAATGGGTTTATTCCCATCGATGTCCAGAGGGGCAGATGACCTAAATCTCTTAAAAAATGTATAATGATAGTTCTAAAATAATTAAACTACTCATTCTCTGTTTCTACCTGGTACAAACAAAAAAGTGGATTATCATAATGATAAAGCTATCCACTATACTAAACCATACCCCTAAGAGTATGAAAACCCATTCATTTATAGACTATAATAGCCTCCATTTCTCAAACCGCTACATAGTTAGTCAACATACAGATTTCCGCCACCCCGCCGTTTCAATCCAGACAACCTCGCATCGTTAGTTTTTGCGCTGCCAGGCCAGGTAAAGTACTCCGTACTTCCCTCAAACCTCTCCAATGCGACTTTTGGGCAACACACAACCTGCAACTGCAAACAAGGAGATTCTTCTCCTCTTGCACTTCATTGGTTGAAGGAGAAGGCAGATTTTTGTGGAGAAAGGCGGTCAAGCTAGGTTTTTGTCACTCAGGTCCCTAGATCGTTAGTTTTTGGTGAAAGTGAATGAGTGCATTGCGTGTACAGAAACATAGTAATGTACTAGAGTTAGTACATCACATCACATCACATTGCCAGCGGCATGAGAGGAGTAGAAATGTCACAGTACGAGAGGGGAGAAATTTCATCTCACCTCCACCCCCCAGAACCCAGGAATCTCGAAGTGCAAATAAGGTAGTATTGAGGCTTACCTCGATAGATTGTGGCTTGCTGACTTACTGGCTCGATGTAACGTATCCAATGCGCTAATACCGGGATATTTGTAGATCCGGGCGGCAGTGTCTCCAGCACATACCGTGGAAAAGGAGAGAACTTTAGGAAGAAAGTGGGAGAGGAGAATGCACGAGCAAATCGGAACGGAAAGAGATGTTAGACTGGAATGTAGACAATAGTGGCTTGGAGTGGGAATCAGTTCCCCACAAAGTATACGAATGGATTTGTGCACGACAGACAGATAGGTATCGATCAATATTAGGGGAACGAGAATCTTGCATCTCGAGATGATAGACTGATAAACTGATAGACTGTCTCGTGACTTGATCCCACTGTCGAGATACAGAAGCCAAAAAATCTTGACGCCCCTTCATCCTTCGCCTCGGTGCAATCTTCGGCACTTAATTAACCGAGTCAATGACAGTGATATCGCCGACCAAACGGTTTTTGTGTACAACTTTCCCGTTTCGTTTGCAAATATCAATACCATTATTATCAATACCAGGTGAATCGTTTTATCGTTACAAATGTCGCCCGCACTTAGTGTGAGGATAAAAAGTTTATCCTAATCAATAACTCCTTTGAGTGGCAAGGCGAAAAAATGTAAATGTAAAATCACGGAATGCGGGATGTTAGAACCGTCCAATATTTCGCACTAATATGTCGCACCGGTTTTCTATACTTGTTTGAAGCCTTTGAATCGCGGTTGTGAACCAAAATATGAGGCTTACCCTAATGCACCTCAAAGAGAAAGGCAAAAGGAAGGAAACAGATAAAATAAAGATTGATATCCAAAAAAGGTTTCACATAGTGTAGCAAAGCGTCATCATATTGTTAAAGCTTGTCCAATGAAAATTCAAAATTTAACTCTGTCTCCTATATTGTTTGTGATCGTCGTCCCGCCTTGCCGGATGGGAAAGGCTTGTTATAACCTTCATTCCCAAGAAATTATTATGACCATTTTGAGACTGAGGATGATGGATGAGGATAATAAATGATGGATGCGTAAGGTAAAATATTGAACAGAATTGAATTGCGCATTGACAAAAGATCAAAACGATAATCCATAAAAATGGCAGACGTTCTTTCCTTGATAGTTAGATGTATCCATTGACAAGATGATATGATGTGATGCGGTATGTTTTATATGGGGTCTGAGTTTCAATTGGTAAAAATTGAAAGAGGGTATATGATAATGTGAGGGCTCAAACGAAGCAGACACAACTGTCATACAATAATGACATCGTTGTTGCAGATGTTGGGTATCGAATCTCGATATCAAGTTTTTAGCAAAATGATTCAGCCCGTATTCCCAACCATCCCATTTTCATGTCCCCCCCACACTGACAAAAATACTTCCGTGCAACGATTTTTTCGATTACCAACGGTGCTGCTAGAACCTGATAATGCGACTACTATTCAATGATGCAGCTAACATCAATTTTTACAGTGGCAAAAATACGCCATAGTGAAAAAGAAGGGCTTTTGCTTCTGCGTCGTCTTGATGATTTAGATTAAAAGCAAACTCTTGCCCTGTAATTGACAATAGGATGAATTGCCAAGCATACATACCCTTCGACAACTCGTCTTGATCTAAAAATGGCTTGATGGTGGCTTTTTCTTGAAATGACTAGGATTGGGAGATTGAGAATGTTTACTTCTTCCTGATATTCGAGATGGAGGACGAAAAGTAGGAGAAGGCTTGAGGGGTTTCGAAACCCCTTCATTATGACTCGTTTAATCAACCTCAGGATACATACCTCTATTGAGTCTATTTCTTCATCAATTAGAGCATCGACGAACGTTTAGCAAAAATTCAAAAATTCATAAGAATGATGGTGTTCCAATTGTTTTCGTACTTGGGCAAGCTTATTGGCGCCACCTACTGCAGAGGTAGCTTCCCTCGCCCGAAACCTGGTAGAAATGACGATTTCGGGGTCCATCTGATCCTCCTGCGCGCATTGAACATCGAGCCAAGGTGAGGCTAAAGCAAGCCTCAGCAAGGAGATGAATTAGTACGGTACACCGTGCTGTGAAGTGACGGTTGGACACATCCGTTGAAGGATCTGTACTAGGGTAAAATGAAATGATAGCATACCCCTTTCATCATATTTTCATTCGTTCGAGAGACACATGCCGTCATTATCGAAACAATTAAGTTCCATCTTTTACCCATTCTTGCACTTTTCCAAAGAGAAATGCAAAGAAATTAGATCTCAAATTATAATGGAGTCCCACGAGATTCTCGAGATATTTAAAGATCATGGAGAGATAACAAGGTAGGTACAACGAAATTGAATGAATAATTTTCCGATTTCGCAGATTTGAAGATACAAATTGATGAACAGGTGTTGGCCAATGATAGAAACATATGAGCATTCTTAACTCCACTTAACTTTTCTCTTTACCTTGTGTGCGAACAGACAATCTTTTCCGCCCGTGCCCGCAAACTAATTAATACTTTTGAGTACCGTGTTTGAGATTGATAGCACAGTACCGGACCGTCAATTGCAACCTCGAATGGAAAGTAGACAGAGAAGAGGTAGCTACAATCCTCGATATAGGTAATTTTGTTTTGATAGTTGTAACTCTGAAAGTGTCTAGCCTCATACAATATGTAGGGACCCAGTATCTGGAATCTCCAAAGAGAGTGAATGTAACACACAAATCTCCTTCCAAAATGGTACTGTACTGTACCTGACTTGAAATAAATATACACTACGCTATGGCTGATCAGGGCATGTTCAAAATCTAATCAGTTGGTGTTTGTCATACAACTCTGTACTGCCAACAAATACCAATGTACGATGATGAAAGGTTTGTTGATCAATCAATCAACTCCATCCGAACTCCATATTATTTATTGAACCTTAAGCTGCTACTCCGTACATCTACCCTAGTCGAAGAAGAGAGAAAGAGCGCTCACATTATCAAAATGCTAATTCCTCATTCGTTGAAAGCCTCACACGCAAGAGGCTTTCATTGGTTGATAACTGTCTTCCCATTTGCATCGCTATCCGTCATGTTTCTGAAAGAGGATCAAAGTTGTGGTAGGGTTTTGTGAAGTGGATTTACGCTACACATGCATGCTGGGCGTGAATTCCCTACATTAAACCTAAAACTAGGAGAAATCCCCACCGGCGACGCGTACCGTCAATTCACCGCATTCCATAAATGACACTGCCGAATATGAAAATATGTACTCATCACAATAGAAATAAACACATACCAATTGATTTCAGAAAACTCGAGATCGATGATGAGGGGAAACCCTTAAATTGGTCTAATTTTGAGACTATTTTTATCATGATTCGGTTAGTGGATTTTTGTTTCTTTATCTTTTCTTTTTAGTTATCTAGTCGTTCGCCTGCAGTTCGCCTGCATTGATTAGTTTCCAGTTTTTTTGGGACCTCTTCAAGTAAGGCTAATATGTACTTTAAGACAAATGAAGTATTAATTTGAGAATGTATACTTGAGCTCATCTGCCCAGCACTCAGAGAGTGTCTAATTCGATTGGCTCTACTCCCAACTTGGTCACTAGAGGACTCCGCAGTAAGTTATTCTCTCTTTATTGACATAATACTGTATATTTAGTATTTACTATCTAACCCTCGAGTTTGACCATGACCCACATCACACAGAGTTTGGGAACTAGCACGCGGGAAGTTTTTGCTGATCGGGATTAAAATGATGATTGAATAATGAAGAGAATAATAATAATAATAATAACAACAATAATAATGAAATCGTAATAAGCTCAGGGTACACATAGCGATTGTTTCAATCCTTGCTCGTTCCTTGTCCCTGTTCTCTGCGAGATACATCATAGGAAATGCAAGCTAATGCTTCAACCCTATCTAGGTAAAACTGTGGAGTACTAAAAGTAAAAACTAGTTTTCAAGTATTTTAGTTCGACTCTTAACTTATTCTCAACTAGATCAACTTTGACCCTCCTTCAAAAAGGGCCCCTCTCTTCACACAACCCCCCGGCCCGATCGTCCACATACTTTCCTATTTTCTCATTCTACACAAATGGGAAAAGGACAAACAGACAGGACTACTCATGATTCTCCATTTTATCATTGTTTCCAAGTATCTGTTTGGATGTGGATTACCTCAAGCGTTTTGTAACTTTTACATAGAATATCCTCTCAAGTATATTTTCCAGTCCCTTTCTTCAAAACGCTATCCTATGATCATAGCCTCTTTGAACCTTTACTACTTTCCCCAAGGAAAGTAATGAGCCGTCCGTCAATAACTCTTTTTATATCCCAACATTCAATAGACACATACATCCCAGGGCCAGATAGCTGGGTATTGCAACATCACTGCCTCATTCGAATTGACATCTTCCCCACGCATACATTCGTGGATCAATAGCACTGCCGAAGATCTGACAGCTTGCTCTGATTCTCGAAACTCGTCAAGTGGGACTTGTCTGATGAGCTTATTACCTCTCAAGAGAAAATAGACACAGACAATTGTTCTTGGATTGACCCGCTCACCGCATTTACCTCTAGTCTCTCTCTCCTCCACAAAGAGGGCAAGACCAAGTACCAAGTACCCAGCGGAACATAAAAAGAACCAGGGAAAGATACCTTCTGTCGATCCCTTCTGAAGAGATTCAAGTGCAAGTTTTCGCCCCGCTCTGAGAGGTCTACCTATCATCTACCTATCCCCCGAGCAGCGTAGTGCACACGATATTCTTATGCAGCACCCCTCCTCAAGGTTTGCGACTACAAGCATCTATCCACAAGCATCCTCGACGAGACTAAAATCTCCAATTCTTTAATTCCTCAATTCTCCAATTATCGAAAGCCTTGACTCGACGTTCTTCATTCTCAAAAGGAAACTACTCATCTCAGTACCATTCAAGGATTACCCCACCAACCATCATCCTTGAATACTCCTTCCCTTCCATCCTTAAAGCTTTGTCTTCAGCAGACCGAAGCACATAAGTAACGCTGATCCCGCCGGCTGTCACTTCACTGATCGACTCTTCCTTACCTCTTGAACTCTTATTATCAACAATATACGACTATTACGCGGGATCTTGCATCTGATCCACGTTTTTTATTTCATACTACATTATTTTTTACCACCAATATAGCATACTCTCTCGGCGCCGTTCGGTTACTTGGAAGCTTTTTTAAACTTTGTTGCAAAAGATGACAATGACAATGGACAACCGACCACCTTTCCAGGGCGGTATGCACTTCAGCAACAACCACCACTTGCCATATGCAAATCCATCAGCTATCTCATTCAACAACGTTGCATGGCCAGCAACGACGGCTACCTCTGCAGGCCCTAGCATTTATGCTTCGACTGGTGGTAACGATGCGGGTCTGGGAATTGAGGGGATTGAAAGGCAACCAAATGCACGCTTGAATGTATCTACGGGATCGTACAATATCCCAGTCACTGCGGCATCAGCAGGTAACATCTTTACGGGTTTCTCTGGAGCACAACAGGATTTACTCACCAGTCAACAAGATATGATGAGCCCCAGCCGTTCCTTACCACCTGGATATGGGAGCGATTCCGGGTATAACAGTGCACCATCGCCTGCTCATACTACTTATACCTCCGCGCCGTCGCCATATGATGGGATGGGCTACGCCCCGGCACCGCCGCCGGCTGTGCGATCATCCTATCCCATTCAGCAACAGGATCATTCCAGGCGACTCTCACAACCGTCAGTATCTTCAAATTCATTGTTCGATATCCCTACCGATGCGCCGCGGTCCCACCGTCAGAATTCACTTATTGACTTTAATGACAGAGGATTACCAAATACTGACAATACCGGATTTTCACGAGACTCAACACTCGATGGCGCAAGGGGCATGCTTGCCATGAGCCAAAACACTACACCCAGAAATATTTATGGAGGTCCCCCACGACTTGGCAGAGGATCCGGCGATTCATACGGTTTCCCCGCAACACATTCGTCAAATTCATCTATCTCTTCAGCAAGCACCTCCTATCCATATTACGGCTCCGTTGATTCTTCAGTTTCCGATTACTCGAATGGTTCTGATATAGAATCGGTGTCAGCGAGGACATTACCTCCACCGGGTGGTATTCTTGGTGGTGGAATTCCTCCTGCACCTCAATCAATGATGGGCCAATTCAGCTCAAAGGTATCTTCAAGTACACTTAAGAAGCACAAATGCAAGATCTGCGAGAAACGATTTACGCGACCAAGTTCTTTGCAAACACACATGTATAGTCATACTGGGGAGAAGCGTAAGTCATCCCACCTTGATGTCACCATGGTTCTAAATCTAATTGAAAATAGCATTCCCTTGCGATGTTGAAGGTTGCGGCAGACATTTCTCAGTCGTTTCCAACTTACGAAGACATAAGAAAGTACACAAGGGCGACGCAAGATCGGAAGCTGGTTCCGAAGATCATCAATCACCAGAATAAATTTTCACACCTTTGACCTTGTACACTACCTCTTACACACATTACGCTCTGTTCATATCACCTCTTTCACGAACATAGACGACCGCAAAGATAATTGGTCAAGAAGAAAAAGACTCGACGCAAAATTGTTCGTCATCATGTCTCTTGCATCATTTCGATATACCATTTTTTTTTTATAAAAATTGTTACGGAGAAGCCGTTCTTCGCGTTGACTATCAATTTGCGACTCTTATCGATTTGGGCACCCTTTTTTATACACTTTTCTATACACTTTTCAATTTCGGGAACAGGCGGACTTCATTTGATCAATAGCGAAAACCTTATTTTCACTTCTAATTCGATCATTACACGACCCTCGCATACATTTTACTTCGGGAAGTTAATGCCTACTACCTTTATCTTTGGTTTTTGGAGGCTCAACAATTTTACTGCCGAGTATGCAGAAGAATAAATGTGTTTTTACGGATGGGCGTTGAAAAGGGTGTTTTGATCTTTTCGGGAACTTTGCATGTAACTTTGTCAGGGCATCACTAGGGGGTTTTCCATTGGGCACGTACATTTCGGACGTGCCGTGTATTGTTGTATTATTAGTTTGTGAGGTTACCTTCTTCTTCCATTCGTTCAATCATTATACCCACCTTTGCAAGAAGGACAGCATTTTTTTTATTTTAATTAGGATGGATGGACGGATGGATGGATGGAATGGACAGCGGGTGGATAGGGATAGGTTTAGATGGATGGCTGTATAGCTTGAACTGGATGGACGGTTGGATGCATGGATGCTTGGTTGGACCATGGCATGGATTCAAAGGTCTATACATACAGTCACTACGGGCATGGAAAGTAATACCACGAATGAATCATCAAATACCAATCAATGGCCTTTACGAGGTAGTACCATCTCCAGTGGCGATATGAATTGTGAATGGAATCTCGATTAACGGGCGAAGAAGCTCCGACGAAACCCAAATGCGAATACAATTTGATTCAGTGCATACATAAGTCTTACTTGAATCTGTATCTGAATCTCACCAGGGTTATGATTTGAATTCGGTACCTTTCTTGTTCTCTTTCTTCCGTTATTATCATGTATACATACAAAATACACATACATATATATACTACTCATCAACCCAACGTTTTTGAATCTATTTTCGGAATTATTGAGCAAAGCTCCGCTCCGCTCCATAAGTAAGTCAGTCCCTGACCCTGATTCATTTTCTCAATATTTTTGATAATTTATCTCTTCTCTTCTCTTGTCTTGACTTCGCTTCTTGATTATATGTCTTATGTCTGAAGCCAAGTGAGACTTAAGTCTTAAGTCTTAAGTCCGAAGTCTGAAGTCTGAAGTCTCAACCCCTACGCGGAGGTAGTAGGTACGCCAATCCCAACGAATGGTTAAATATATTTCTAAAAGCCTAAAAAGCTTACCCTGATTAAGCTCTGAGCTCTCTTTTATTGAATAGAATAGTGAATGGTAGGTTAGGTAGGGAATAGATAGGAGGTAAATAAATACCTAGTAATACTACCTACCTCTTACCTCTATATCCCGCACCTTACCTTCCCTACAAAGTTACAACTCCAAACATTCTACAATTTCTACTCGGGATTTTTAACTGGGTAAGGGTATAAATTTGTATGAGATTGTGTGAGGCTATGGGAATTGTAAGAAAATTGTATTCGTGGACACTTGAAAATCTTTCCTTCATCTTTCTATGATCTACCTATGATCAACCTGAACCGTGACTGACTATGATCATCTGTGTTGTTACTGTTGTGATCGGTATCAAGGTCTTTTCTGGGGTTCTGTTTGGTAGTGTCTGATTGATGCATGGCCTGTTTATATCACGTTATGTACGTATATTTCACGACTGCCGACAACTGTGTGTGTTTCTTTTGGTTCCGGATGGAAAACCTTATTTTAATCTTACATTCCTATCTATAGCTACCTACCTAACTACATAAGAACCTTCCCAAATAGGTATGTACTTACTTGTACTGTACGTATATGCGGAGTAGATATGTAGTTTGAAGATAAAGTTCACAGCGGCTACTAGTTAAAGTTTAAACCCACTAATAATACGAATATATGAATGGGGATGTGAATGAGGATGTGAATGTGAATGTGATGGAATGATGAAATCGAAATTAAACCCCAGATAGATACTGGGTAATCTGATGATGAGTTAGGTTACTTAGGTAGGTACATGTCATGATAATGATATCGATGACGAAAGTCAGCAATATCAACCATCATGAGAAAGCGGTAAGTAACTTAATCTCCCTTCTAGTAAGTACCTAAGTATCGAACCTTACATTTCGAATAGGTAGGTAGGTACCTAGATACTGGAGAATTGGAGATAGGAGATGAGATGAGGAATCCATGAATGAATGAATGGGACGCACGAATGCTCATCACAAGGTATGTATGTAGTAATCCTAGTCCTAATGACGCAAATGTGCATCCTACCCTGCGCGTTCTGAAACGTATATTGGGTTGTGTGTTATAGGTTTTGACTGGGGTTTGTGACTAGGGTGTCTGGATTTTATTTTTATGCATGGATGTGCTTTGCTTTAGACTTTTTTGTAGTCGGTATGGAGGATGGACATTGGAGGGTGAGGTTTTTGGTGGATTAGTTGGGTGTGTTGGGTTCCTTGATTGGGTGGTGGTGTGTTGGGATGTTGGGATTTGGGGATTTTTGATGGAGGGTGGATGGAGGATGGAGGATAGGTGGGTCGGTTTTTTGGTTCCTGTGTTTGGTTTTGTGTGGAGAGATGGGAGATGATGGGAGATGGGTGAGGAGGAGATGGGTGAGGAGGGGATAAGAGAGAGGAGGACCCTGGATCTTCGGTTACTTGGATGGATGGGGATGATGGATGGATGGGATTTGTGGGAGCGAGGTGATACAATATTACACAGCCTCGTTACAGCAAGCACGCAAGCAAGCAAACAAACAAAACAAGTAACTTCAGGCTGTTCAGGCTCTGCAAGCAGTAACGGAAATGGAGTTTAGCAGGAGTAACAGGGTAGATAAACACACACACACCTAATTCTCGTTTAAATGATTCGTTATAAGGAGAAGAATTGAATTATGACAAACTTGAAAAGACAAACAAATTAAGTTTACCAATGGAATCGATAGAGTTCGAGGTTAATTTACGAAAATAATTTATTATACTTTTACCGCTCTGTAACGGTTTAACCATAATTTTGGTTACCGCTTGCCCCGCCTTCTCACCGTCGTTACGAAACTCTCCGGAGGTAGTGGTGAATAGAGTTTCTTGGTTTTTGAATTTTTGGGTGATTGATATCTACCCTACGGATACGGAGTTACAGGCTTAGCACTCACAAGAGGGTTATGAAGAAAAGAATCCTCCGTGTATCATTATATCGTCGATTCGTCATCGATTGATCTATTTATCTACTGGTGAGATAAGATTGGGGTTCTTTACAAGACTATTTACCGGTGCTAATACGTTATCGGGCCGGCAATGTAGATTTTAGTTGGGAGTTGAGTTGTTAGATGTTAGATCTCCGGGTATCTAATGCTGACTGGGTATTAGATATCTGGATTATCATATTAGATACCATAACAACGATGAACCCTTCATCGATCGACAATCTTCAGTTACCTATCTCAGGCTAATTTCACATCCTACATACATTCCTACATACATACTATATATACATAATGCTAAGATACCAAGACAATGATATCCCATCTTACATATCTTAACACATAACGATAGACGAACCTCTGGACCGTGATCCTGACGACGTCTTCTTGTTTGATGTTAAGACTGACTCTGACTTAGGAATAGATAGACAGAGATGGACAGATTTATATATAGCAACAATCTAGATGTAACGATGCCTAATAAAATTTGACCGAAAGACACAAATGAGTGAATTAGAATTTAGAAGAGGTAACAGAAATCCAGAACAGAGACTTGAATGTTTCTTGATGGATATGATATGGGCGGGCATCAAAATGTCTAAAACAAAAATCATAAATCACGTACGTGCAGTAACTCCGTTACCACGACGGATATAGGGTTTCGAAAGAAGGGAAATAGAAATCTCCAGTGGAATTCGAGGTTGATAATATCAACTTGGTAATACTATAGGATTTGTGGGTGAAACTCTGGAGCCGAAATTGGGGAGAACTACCGCTTGGAGATAGTCCGTATGGATAGATGGATAGATGAACAGACTTGGGAATTCTCCACCGAATGAGTACTCGAGTAGTAACTCTGTAGGTATGTTTTTGTCCGATTATATTCTAGGTATAGGACCATAGGTATAGGTAATTACAAGTCGGTTCCAAAATCTTTAGGGACTTGGAATTGGTGAATTGGAGTTGAGATTTTTGATTAGATACTTACCGGCACTGGACTAGAATTAAAAATATATTAAATAGAAAATCGATGAAATATTTTTAGAAAAGCTCTCAAAGGGATATACATTCTTTTTAAAATGTATATAAAAAAATGGTATATTGATGAAATTATCGGAGTTGAATATTACACACCCCTTTCTTTATCCGAGGTATTAAGAGTGAACGTTATAAAATAAAACCCTACCTACAATCTAAACACCAGCTTCACAGCATCTAAATCTGAAGGAGTACTGAGTACTCCATAGACAAAACAACAACTGGCGCCTCATCCGCCATTATCCCATCATCCCATCTATCCCATCTATTCATTATCCATCCATCAACCATGGACCCCTACGCGAAGCCCAAAAAAAAAACCGCTCAAAACAGCCTCATCCTAAAAATGATAAGGCGACAGACGAAGAATGGGAACCCATTGATCACAAAAAATCCAAGACTCATGACATAGGTGGCTTGAATTCTTTTCATGAAATCTCCTCTTCCTTCCCTTCAACGAATCAACGAATCAATTAATCACTTTGGGAAAGTGGAGGAAGGAAACGTAGTCGCCAAGCCTTATGAATTTTTTCAGGGTCTTGGGGTCGGTGGAATGATTGAATGATTGATTGGAAAGGTGGATATTACTTAAAAAGGACAATCCGTGGGATGAAAAAACGAGTTGTTATCTTCTTTGGGTACGGGAGTACGTGATATTTTTGGAGATTGGTTATTGGTTCCAAGAAAAGTTGATTTTTGATCCTGGTGATGTGATTTGAGGATGAGATAGAGCGATAAATAGGCGTCATTATTGCTAGACAGTACAGTTTGAAGTTTGAACAGTAGGTAACCTTAGCACAAACTTTACTGCGTATAAGTCTCTATAATATAAAAAAATATCCTAGTACCTCTGTACGAATTACTTCCTCACTCCTCTTTTATCTCCTTACTATTAAACGAAAACCACTATATCCTAAACCTTCGAATGCGAATCAAGGCATAGCATAGCATAGCATTAGCGGATTGAAATCTATACTACCTACTCGGTATGTAGTAATGTGGTAGGTACCTAGATTAGAAAACCACAAATTACGGTACAAAGGATACCGAGACCAGAGATTGTATCTTCTTACCTACATATGTAATAAGTCTTACAAGGATCTATTCCGTAAAATGAAAATGGGGCCGTGGTGGATTATGGATGGATATTGATATCCTCGCGAAAGCTTCGAGAAGAATATATAGAACGATAAACGAGATTGGGAATTTCCCTTTGACGGAGTATGTTTTCTATCTTTGTTTCTAAGTTTCTAAGTTTCTTTTCTTGTATAGATAGGGCAGGATGACAGGGTACCAGTGACAAATTAATCGAGGGTGCAAGAGCCAGGGGTTGCTAGGGTTTACTCCGTTCCGTGTATTTGTATCAATACACTCCACTCTCAATAGCCCAATCAATATATCAATGATTATCCCGGATCGAAATCGCTTCTTAAATGTACGTACGGAGTAGTGTAGGTAGTAACCTTGACAATTTGGACAAGGAACACTGGAGTACGTACAGAGTTTGAGAGTTTAACGCCCGGTACCGGCGCTAGTAACGTTCCTACATTAGCTATATACGGTAGCTGTCTAGACTAATAGCTAAACTAACTCCTTGGTTGCTTGCTTGCTGCTCAATATGAACCTTGGACTTTGAAGTAAGATGCATGTTTCAATCCAATTTCCCGGGTGAAGATCACGAACACTTGTAGTTTGGAACATCTTGTTTACTTCTTCCATTTATAATTAGCTCACTGGTGGCTATCCCCTAGAATGCGGAAATGGGCTCCATTCGCTTAACATGGGTCTTATTGACCAATTGAAATCTCAGGATTTCTCAAGTTTTATTCAATATTTATTTTCAAATTGATATATAAATTTCATTTAATATTATTTTAAATTTCAAAGTGAAATCATACAAATATATATTAATTTTGAATTATGTAAAAAAAATTCAGATTTGAAAATCTAAATTTGAATTCAAAATTCTGATTTGATAAAGGAATGTTTGAAAAAGCTTCAAAAGTTCATTCTAACCAATTAGGCTTTATCATTCAAGGAATTATACACAGACCACTTTTGGAGCCCATTTCCGCATTCTAGGGGATAGCTCATGATCGATCATGATACAATTATTAGATAGGATATACTAGGTAGGTGTGCTATCGTAGTATTCGGAAGAAGTGTAGGAAATTGGGGCTAATATGGGATGGGATGTATGAATCGAAATATCAGTGTATTTCCACGTTTTTGATCATTTGTTTTCTGTCGCTGTGTAAGATCACTTTTCTCTGTATTTTATTCTATTCTGCTATGTCGTTGCTGATTCCTTATTACTGTGTGAATTGTTAATTTTGTCGCACAATCATGATGTAAAGATACATTTGTATGCAGTACATACATAATATATTTCGTCACTATGATACTGTGATATATTTGTTATGCAACATGAAGTGATGGAATACATATAGTAATGGTGGTGATAGATTATATTCACAATGACGTTTTTCTTGAGTGCTGCAGCTGTTTATGTTGCGGTTGTGTTGTCAGTGTTGTACCGCGTAGAGGATCCGGGGATATTGGTGTGGATTTACAGGATGGATGGGTGTACAGGATGCAGATAAGATGATGGAAGGATGTGTGGACTTTGGTTAGGGGATGATGTGGTGTTATGCTTATTACACTACATATGATTGACTGGAGTGCATTTGCATCTTCATACCTATGTAGAGGACATATGTCCGTGGACTGTCTTTTTGGTATTGTCGTTCTTAGATATATAGATGAGTATTGTAAAATCTCGGTTATTGCTGTAGTGGCTATGAGATTATGAATGACAAAATACAAAGTACATCAAGGCCATGAAATTCGCGATTACTATTTCATGTAGATACCTCACACCACTAGGAATGTTTTGTCATCCTCTACGCAGTCGCCAAGGAAACGAGACGCATCATTCATCTACTTCTCAAATCCTTCCCTCCGTCTAATCGCCTTGCCTCACTCTCCTCACCCATCATACCCTTTAATTTTCCCTTACAATTCCCCATTTTGAAGATCCTACATCCTCAATATCATATATACAACCGCTCCTATACTCCGATTCTGAAACTTCGACGCTCCAGCGCGCCAACCGGTATTATCTACCCAGTACGTAAAAAACTAACAATATCAGCCAAAATTCAGCTCTATTGAGGAAATGATCAAACATCAATGGTTAGGATAAGACAGATATAGAAAAATACGACACTAGAGGAACAACTTACTGGTCATTCAAATCTTATGAGAAAGAGTGTCAGGTTCATGTGATCACTTGCGCAATTAGCGGAAGGATAGGAGCGTATGGATAATGAGGTTCGGAGTATGATGTTCTTGGGTTTGGAATTTATGGTGGTAGTGATGACGTTTTAACCTTAGCTATTGTTAGTTTTGAAGTTCAATTTGGTGTTTTTCGAATCTTGATTAACCTATTAAACTCGTTTATAATCAATCCAAAGCGCAATGGACATAGAATTGTGATAATTTACGCCGCGCTGATGAGAAGTATGAATATCCTTCCTGACTGTATTGTCACATTTTTCAATTTTCTTTTGCAACTTTTAATTATGTATTTTTTGTATTATTCACATCTACCCACCCATCGCTTGCTACCTACAGCTCGTACCTTCTATACCCTATTTCGTTCTATTCCAAGTGTCCTTCTTTCTCTCTTCCTCTCTCTCTTTCTCTCTCTCTCCGTCTTCAGAGTTGGAAATTCGAAATTGAAAGCTCTCACAGAAACAAACATCATCTCATCTTTCGTTAGATATGGCAAGAATCCCTTACTTGACGTTGGTGAGGTGAGACGAGACGGGATAATGTGATGAGAACAAGATCAGGTCTCTCCGACTTCTTAATTACTCTTTTTCCTCACTTCACTAACTTATCCATCTCAGTCCAAGATGTTCAAAAATCTAGCTGTGATAAAGTATGTTAAGTAGATATAAACACTCACCATTTACACTCTCTAATATATGTACCATCCCATCCCATCGTCACCAATACCTACCTACCCACGACAAATTTTCCCTCAACCTCCAGCCGCCTTCGAAGTTGAGTGAATTCATTCAGCATCCCCCTTCCTTCCACCCCAATCAACCACCACCCAAAGAACATCATCTCGAACCCTCAAACTCCCAAACCCTCAAACCACCAGACTCCCATGTCTCAGATCCCTATTCCGAATCCAATGAATGGTAAGCATGAAAGATAGTGTTCCTTTTATACTTTTGGAGTGTTCCTATATATATAATTTGCAATTTGTTATTGTTGTATGAAGATTTTGATATTGTTATGTAGCAATGATACTAATGTTGTTGATATTTAAGAAAGTGGACAAATCGTATGGAGACGAACCTCTTGAGCATTTCATCCTCTTAACCGACACTTCTATTAGATTCTGGTATTGTATATTATCAAACATCTGGCTCCACTTTTTCGATATCTGCTCTAGCATGTAATTATACTATAGCTTGGAATTATAATAGAACATGAATATGTGGAAATTGTTTTGTATTTTTTCTTTCCTTGCATCTCGCATAGCTGTTTGAATCAAAAACCACCATCAACCCACTCATCAATTCATATCATAAACCCGTCTTTTTCCCAATAAACAAACAACTCTGAACGCCACTAGATGTGACGCAACCCTTCACAATTCTCATCTAGCATACTCATCTATCAAACATTTTCTCTAGCCTTGCCCCCTTCTATGACCTAGTTTCCTCTTGTCACACGAATTGATCAGACCTCCTCTCATCCCCATCAGTTATCACAACGCCTTAACAATAGTCCTCTCATCAAAAAGATCTCTCAGTAACCCCTGCCTACAAGCCTCCCAATCCGTTGCTCCCATACCATACGTACTTTCAAAAGCGAATATGCTCAATTGACTGAAGAATGGTCTCAAAACCTTCGCCACCAACTCATCTTTCCTCTCCCAAGTTCCCTCGTCATTAATTCCATATCCACCTTTCATTCTCCCCAATAGAGGCCTCCTCATCGAATATTTGCCTGCTTGTGAAACTGCAACTGAAGAGGATTCTTGTAATGCAGTTGTATTGGTGGTTGCCGCTAAACCCAATTCTTCGCTCAATTCATCGACTAAAGAAACGGGTCGGAATGAAGAGGGACGATAGACGGCATCAATAGTGTCCGTTATGAAAAGCCATTCGTGTAATTGAAAATCGTCGGGTGCAATACAGAGTAGAGTGTCCAGCAGCTTACATGCTTGGAGGATAGAGTAATTATTATAAGTGTCAGAAGGAGTACTATGATCAGGTGCTACAACCGATGAAATGGCAACGTGAAGTTCGGCGTTAATTATGGGCCAGAGCGTTGCGAGATGAATAGCCGAGGTCTTGAGAACGAGAGCGCGGAGAAGGAGATAGATATCTGCGCGAGTAGTTGAGGAAGGAGAGGATGTTGTAGTTGCGGAAAGTAGTTCAACAATCTTCTCCTGAATAAGAGGAAGGTCAGTCACGAAATTATCATCCATGGTGGCTAGAACTAGGGTAGCTATTCGGCGGAGATTGAGTTGTGATTTTCTGTCGGCCTCAAAGCGCGCTGAGGTTGCTCCTACACCAAAAACAATACCAGCTGTAGAAGGAGCGACTAGTCGTGATAAAAATTCTGGCATTCGTTCTTTGTCGCTCAAGGTCCATTGCCTGAGTAATGGCAGCCAATCACTTTCAACGAGATTGATGTTATTTGCGAAGAAGCGAGAATCGTTGAATGCGTCACCAAGATCCTTTCGCCATGATTTTTGCGTGTTAGGAAGCCTGGAGAGCTGATATAGTAGTTCTAAAGTACTCTTAGAAACATTATCTGGAAAGGATCTGGACTTAAATGTTGGTCCAATGACACTCGATGAGATGGTATTCGCCGCATTCAGTATTCGATCATTTTCGACAAGCACTTTAGGTAGATTTGGCGCAATAGATGCTAGAATCCTAACGACATCATCGGACCTTGTTGAAGAACGAGATGAAGAAGACCGCTGATCGAATTCTGTCAGCTTCTCTACACTTTCAGAGAATCCCATAGGTCTAGTAGTGAACATTGCAGTAAGTAGTCGGAGGAATAGATCCTGGCTCAAGTTAGTTCTTATCTCATCAATAATTGATTCATACTCACCCCCAATTCTCTTCGCATTCGACGCTGCTCTCCAAAATTGGTATTGTCAACCTTCACACCTAAAATAGCGGCAAATTCCAGGAGACTAGGGAGCGTTTGTCGATGTGGAAATGGATTTGCCAATAGATCTTTCAGGAAAGTCATACAATCCACCCAAATTTCATCCATGGCATCATCCTCTAACGATCTTGCATATTCCACTAAAAATGTCACCAAGTCTGTATCGCTCAACGGGGATGTCAAAGTCGACTTCCTTGATGGATCCAGGGCATTTGGGTTCGTCCGACTATAAATAGCATTGAAAATTGCAGGAATTGTATGTTTTGGTCTTGAGCCGTCAAGAACATGAAGAAGATTGAAGATAATAATAGGTCGTGGGTCGTTATCATTGGAAGACTTTTTCCCAATTTGAACCAAAGTCTCCAAGCATTCTAATGCCTCAGCTGTGAAAAGATGTTCAAGAAGTCTTCGGGCCCGGTTCCGCATGCGCAGAGAGGTGTAATTGAAGGAGGCAGTGGATTCACTATCCTGAGCTCCATCTTGGCCACCCCAAGACCAAATGAGGAAGCAAATTCGAACAGCATCTTGGAATGAGAGCAGTACAGTCAGCCGGTTATTGGCAGTTATGCTTCTTGCTTGTGGTGTCTCCGAGTTGAAGACACCAGAGACCATGTTTCCAAAAAATCCTTGTGGTTGGTCGGGACTTTTAGCAATAGGTGCCTTCGTCTCATCTTTCAGTAATCGGTCATGCCCCTTCGCGAGCACGAACTCAAGTCCGTTGAGGAGAGATATCAACGTGGATTCAGGTGCCGCAAAACCCTCAGACGCCATACCTGGCTCCTTAAATGTGGTTTGTAAATTGGTAAAAGTTAGTTCAATCTGTGCGCAAAGAGTTCCGACTAGTGGTATAAGGATTTGGAAAATTGTTTCGGAATAGAATGGTAGACATTCCGTCAAAAAGCTGACCCAACTATCCAGAACCGGCCTACTCGAAGTGGCCTCAAACCCGGCCTGCAAGCACTTCACCAGTGACGGTGGCGGAGGAGGTAAGAAGGGTCCTGTGTGTTCGCCCTGGTCAATTCCGAGGGAAGAAACGGACGCGTTGTCATGTTGAGTCATAGTGGAGGTCATAGTGGTAGAGCGCTTTTTGAGAGTAGGGGATGGTGGTGGAGGGTTGATAATGGGTCGGATCTTTAAAGCAGCATAGACCACATCGAGGAGCAGAACCTGAATGAAGGGATCGGCTCCAGTTAAAGAGTGGCTTAGTCTCTGGATCAAAACATGCTCCAACTGCAGCTCGCCTAATGATAAAGAGTATGGGCTCAATAAGATTTGATGTAGGAGAGTTAGAGCAGTACGGTGGAACTGATGGATATGTGGTTTTCGTTCCGAGTTCTCCGGTTCATAGGTCCCCGATATTGCTTGCAAGCACACATATAGAAAGAATTCCAAGAGCGTAATTTCTTCATCCCGACCAGCTATAATTTTGTTAGCACAGGACCATTAAATAGTGAACAAAACTTACTGATTTGAAATAGAGAGCGATGAGATCTGTCTGTAGAAATGCTATTATGAGCAAGTGCTGCCCACGTAGTATCCGAAGACCATCGCAATACATTAGACAGTGTTTGGAGATGATACAGACATTGATCTAGGTCATCTTCATCTGTATAGATACGCATGTTGTGATGTGCCGTGGTCCCAGCATCTTCAAAATTTGTGTAAAGAAAACTATAGCTCGAGAACTTTGCGACAAAAATATGAAATAGCCTAAGCTACAGTCAGCAAGATTTCTATTTTGTATCAAACCATACATACCTGTCAATACCAACGAGACTTTGCAGCCAAATCCTAACTGTCATGAAAAGTTGCGTCCGTTCATCAACGAGTGCATCAAGTAAAAGGAAGAGAGGCCTCGCAAGCATAACTTCATAATTGCCAATACCAGAAAGTCGAGGTGTATTTTTGATGTCATTGTTCGAGCTTCTACGGTCAAGATGACCGGCATTATCTTGTAGAGAATGGGTCCACAGAATGCTAAAGCTCCGCCCATGATCAGCATCCCGAGATGCATATGTGCCATTCAGATCATGCTCTATCATTAAATTACATATCGAAGCTTCAATATCGTGGTTATCAAGTGTGAGAGTTGTTTGTAGTTGCCAAAGACTTCGAACAGTCTCCACGTGGTATTTTGGATGAGTAGCAGAAAGATATGACCAAGCTAAGCGAACTAGGGGATCTACTAGACTGGATAGCTGTGGCAATGAGATGTAATGATTTGAGTAAAGACTCGTGCAAAGAGACATGATAGACGTAAATGCAAGAAACGGAAGTTGAGATGGTATGCTCAATTTGCTTTGCATAGACTTTAGCAGTCCTGAGACATCAAGGCTCCTAACCTTGGGTACTTTAGCGAGTAGCATGATAAGGAGCCTGGTCTTAACACCAGCATCAGCACTTGACACTGAACTTGACAAACTCTGGTTAGCTATGCTACCACTTTCGCGAACTAGCAATTCGCTTAGATCACGAGTTGAGAATGGTGGGGGAAATGCATCTAAATTCCCTTGCTCTTCAACATAGAATGTTTTCATATTACGTATTATTTCGGTATTCGAGAGGTGTCTGAATTCGTCGTCATCATGTTTGGCCATTGACTGGCCAGTGGGAGGCCGCAGTTGAAAGGCCCGTTCTGGAATAAGATCGCTTAAATCCATAACAAGATTTAACGCTAATTTCTCAACTTCACTTGCGACGCCCGCCTTTTCTGCGCGCTCCTGTGTCCTTTCCTTAGCATCTTCCAGCATACTTAATATTGTCAAGGTTGCTAATGGAGCGTGTATCAGCAGCATTTCTTCTTCCCGTACATTGAAGTGGTTGATTATAAAGGTAACGAGGGACAATTTATCAATCTGCTCCTCGGTTGATAGCTTTCCAGGAGCCAACGCTTGTGCAATCAGTCCGACAATTTCACCCCAAATCAGACCGCTTTCGACCCCGTCAAAAAAGACGCTAGCACTTCGAAGAACTTCGGCAAAGTCGGCTTTGTTCGCTGCCTTACTCTTGTACCCTCTGACGCTAGTGACAACAGATAGGAATATGTCCGGAACGACAAGTCCACCAATCTCCCATCGGTCCATTAAAGAAAGACATATTCGGAACGGTCGGGCTTTTTCAATAGGGTTGACAGCTTCCCGTCCTATTAATTTAAGTAGAGCTTGCGTAAGTGGATGAAGACCATAGTTCTCGAAGTATTGTGTCCTTGAAGAAGCATGTGACCCAAGATGATCCCCAGTAAGCGATGTTGGGGATTCTGGACCATTCTCGTTGTCATGACCAGCTGGCTCAGGTCCTAAAAGCCACGTCCATAGACGTCGATTTAAGCTCATATCACGTCGAGTTACAACCCCTGCCGCGGCGGTGACAAGGAGCTCGAGGTCTTCTGATTTCACTCGCTGTTGTAAAACATTCGAATGTAGAGGTAAATGAGTGACAAGGAGATCTAAAAATCCACGCTGAATTAGGATTTGCTCGTCAGCTAAGCCAGCCGCAAAACATCGTAAAAGCAAGCCAGGCTCGGGAGAAGTAACAATTTCAGCCAATTGAGATTGATTCGTAGCCACATCATTATGAGGCCCATTGGATGATGAAGTGCTTTGCTCGGAAGGCGAATGTCCGAGTGTCGGAAGATTGCGATTGAGATAGGCCAATGCTCCCAATCGACGACCATTACTCGTTATTGCAGCGAGGAAGAAGCATTGCCAGAAATATTCGTCCCCACTACTGTGATTTTGCCCCAAATCTTCAGTGCCAGAAGGTCTGACAGCATGTTTGAAACCATCAAGTAACTTCAATGTGCGTTCAAACTCGTCACTATTTTCCTCCTCAAGACCAGGCAATAAAGCAAGTATAATCGCTTTTAAAGCTGGCCGTAGTGATCGTCCATCAACCCTGAGTATATGCTTTTCTAGAAGTTCAAGAAATGGCCCTCTCACAGAAAGGGATGCAAATGACAAAGTGGTCGATAACCCCGGTAGATAAAGGGGTAGATCTTTAGACAATTCATCTGTTCCTACCATTGAAAATATATATCCGTAAACTTCAAGAGCTTTTTGGTGTACACCTGAAGGTAGTGAAGGATTTAAACACTGAGCAAGACGTTTTGCGACAATTGCTTTAGACGGGACAGCAGCTATATTGGCAGGATGTGCTTGTAACGACTATAATTATTGTCTCAGTATATTCCTTTTATTCACATTCTTAAGACCACACACCTTCAATAGCCTCCCCAAAAAAGAAATATAATCCGCCCATTCCTGTAAGGCTGTGTCAAATAGCGAGAGTGAGCGATCGACACCAGATGCATATCTGCGGAATGCTTTATCTTTATTCGGAGGTTCATCTGCTAAATAGTCAGCTCTGCCATGTAAAATATAAGAGATGAGAGCTCTACCTCCACCTAACTGGTTCCTCCATTTCCTTGAAACCGGTGATGCTCTTCCTGAGCTCGCAGGAGATACCGACTTACGGCCAGAGCTGGGCTCAAGGGCCATGATTCTTGTGGCACTTCACAAAAGTAGATTCAGAGATGATTTGCATCTTTTGATTGTTGTTGTTCGCATTCAATTCATGAATTCATGACGTACGCGTGGCTTCTTTCAACTGAGTTGCGCTGGTGAAATTCCCAAGGCTGACAGGTTGTCGCTAATTCTTCAGTGGCTCCAGCCCCGCGTGCATAAACCCACAGCCTTAAAATATCCTTGTTATGTTCATGTTAGTTAGTAACTCATGCGGCGTGCTCTGCCAGAAAGTATATCACACTCCATTCCTGCAATTTGCTAGGTCATCATTGTAAGTAGAGCATAAGGAATGCGCTGTAACGAAAAAATTTCAAAGTTATTGTGAGTTGCCATTACCTAGTTAAAACATCCCTTCCCCCGCAGGGACCTCATGGGAGTTTCTCCTGACCTCTCGGATGCAGCTCCCCATGAACGAGCACATGCAACAAATGAGGGATCCCCGTCTGCGAAAGCGACGGTCAATGATGTTGCGACTGGTGCGATGAACGGTCAAGATGAATCTCAGGCCCGGAAAGGCACTAATAATGATGTTCTCGAAAATCTCATGAAGACTCTCGACATGGAAGCTGCTGAGGTTGTCACAACCAAAGATGATATCTCAGATGATGATACAGAAGAGCGAAGGCCGCCTTTACCACCTAGACCTTCATTGTCCCAGGTTGCAGAACGTCCAAAACCCTCAGGAGGTCCAATGCGACCGGCATTGCAGTCTAAACCTACCACGGCATTATCGTCAGTCGAGATACAGACGTTATCATTTCCCGATGGCACCAGAGGTACTTTCTCTACGCCAGTTAGTCGATCAGCATCCGAAGCAAACCAAGGGCATGGTACCACTTCGTCAATTTCTTCAACATGCAAGAAAAAAGGTCTGGAAGGAAGTGACAGCGATGATAATGCCAGCCTTATGAGTTGTGCGCCAACCTTGAAGGCAAATGGAGACCTCGCAAGTCTACTTGACGATGGACTTAATGCGCAAAGCCCGGCATGGATATTGTTAAATTCACAAGCAGATCATGGGGAACCAATTGATGAGACAGTAGAATTTGAGGATACCTCTCTTACAAACTTCGATCGTGAATTTGATGAAATAGGGGAAGTTGATAGCAAGGGTGGAAACGAAGAGGAACTACTCATACAATGGAAGTCAAAACTCAAGCATTATTTGATTCTCTCTTCCGCTGGAAAACCTATATATAGTCGGCACGGAGATCAAAATCTCATCAATGGCTATATTGGAATCATTCAAACGATTATATCATTCTTTGAGGGTTCAAAAGACCCCCTCACGGGATTTACTGCAGGTCGTACAAGATTTGTTATCTCAACCGACGGACCTTTATACTTTGTTGCTATCAGCAAACTTGGTGAAAGCGATGCTCAGTTGAAAGGCCAGCTTGAGGCTCTGTATATGCAAATCCTTTCAACCTTGACTCTACCAACTCTCACACATTTGTTTTCGAATCGACCGAATACAGATCTCCGCAGACCTCTGGAGGGAACTGAATCATTACTATCATCACTTGCAGACACTTTTACTAAAGGCTCTCCCTCTGCTTTGTTATCTGCATTAGAATGTTTGAAGTTGCGAAAATCACAACGACATGTTATAAACAATACACTTCTAAAAGCACGAACTGACAAGCTTCTTTACGGGTTGATAGTGGCCGGTGGTAGGCTTGTGAGTGTTATACGTCCTAAGCGGCACTCATTACATCCTAGTGACCTCCAACTCATATTCAATATGCTCTTCGAAGCTGGCGGGGTCCGAGCTGGAGGCGGTGAGAATTGGATTCCCCTATGTCTCCCAGGATTTAATAATAGAGGATACCTCTATATGTACGTGAGCTTTTTGAGCGTGGAAAAAGGCGGACGTGTTAAAAATGATAACTCTGAGAACAAGAAAGGCAAAACGGAAGATGAAGTTGCAGTGCTTCTCATAAGCGCTGACAAGGAAAGCTTTTTTGAGCTTAAAGAAATGCGTGATGATGTGGTTAATCAGCTGGAAAAGAATGGAAGTATGAATATAATCAAAGCTGCCGTTCGCCAAGGACGTCCGAAGACAACTGATATCGTTCCTGGAACACCGTTACGGCATTTTCTATACAAGTCACGAGCAAATGTTCAGTTCACGATGCCATCATTCGATCCATATTACAACACTCTTGTCAATCGTCGAAGGTAAGATCAAATATTTTATTTACTGCTATTAAACGTTGAAGCGATGGTCATTTCCGATACTGTAAAGTATCTATTAGGGGTATATCGTTATCCCACAAATTATCAAGCCTCATGAAAACCACAAAAATCTAACACCAATACCCAGGCTCATGAACCGATACCAAAACCTCCACTCCGCAACACACAAAAAGCATTCCCACCTCAAAGTCCTCCACTGTGTCTCCCGGGACAGCATCTCCCTCGCTTGGACAACACCCCAATTTGAATTCTATTGCGTAGCAGGTCCTAATGCTTCACGCGCGGGCCTGGCTCAAGGAGCCAATAAAATAATTCAATGGGTCAAGCGTGAAGAAGAACGTGTGTTTATTGTTGGTGGCGCCGTCTTTTGAGTACCCAATCGAGATATACGACTTAGTTCTCTAGCTTTGGCTTTGGCTTTTGCTTTGGCTTTTGCTTTTGCTTCGGCGTCGAGATTCTTTCCAGCCTGCACAAACTCATCTAACTGGGTTGAAGCAATTTCTTTATAATCATTGTATTCGTCTTTAATCTAAAAGAAGAAGCAAACGAATTAGTCTCTTTTGCGCAAACCCTAATGTACCTAGATAGAACATGAATTACGAAACTTACATCATCAAGAACACTATCAGGATACTTCTTTTTGTGCTCAATATTCCTCTTTTGTCTCTCCTCTTTCCTCTCCACTCCTCTCCAATCGTTTGATTCACTTTCAATTCCTCCGTATTCTTCCTGAAACCAGGAATTGTCCACCGCCTCTTTACGCTTATTTCTTCCTTCCCCTTCTTCTATATTTTAAGTCCTTAGCCTGGATTTTACTCCTCTGACTTTTCTTTCCCCTTTCCCCTTTCATCATCCATGTCCTTTTGATCCATCATCTCCCTTCCAACCACTTTTTATCTTCCCTTTCCCTATCCATCCTCCAATCCTCCAATCCTCCTCTCCTTCTTCTCACCACTCTTCCCCTGCACATCCTTACTCACCACTTGAACCTGAATCTGAGTCTGGCCCTGTACCCCGCTTTTCTCCTCGACCTCTCCGTCACTCTGTTCTGAAACTTCACAAACCTCCTCTTCCCACTCGTCAGAAATCGGACTCTGTTCATCCGGTCCCTCGACCATCCACTTGATATCTCTAGCTACACTTCGTTGGAATGGTTTCTCGATTTCTTGACTGCTTCCACTACTTCCATTCCTTCCATCACTTCCACTTCCTTCTCCATAACCAAATCCAAGCTCATGGTGCACAGATATTCCCCCGGGCGGAGACTCTGGCGGTGTAATAGGACTTCTATTGCCGACCCTTCTATTCGTATCCACGACTGTTCCAGGAGAAATAGCTTGAGAATACGAGGGAGGAGTAAGAGGATCAATAGTAGAATCTTTATTTGTGTTTGCGAGTGAAGTGTCGAGTTTTGGTAAATCTTTATTTTGGCTTTTGGTCTTCTTGGACCAGGAGACTGATCGCCATACGCTTGTTCGGCTTGCCATTTTGGTGGTGCGTGGATGTGGATGTGATTGTGGTTTTTTGTGATGTTTTCGTTTTCGCTCTCGGTATGCTGAGATTATTTAATGAGATACTGTGAGAAGACTAGTAGAGTCTAGACAGAAGTAAAATATATATCTCTTTTGAATATGAATCGTAAAGAAATACACAGATATGATATGACTGATATATAATATCAATAAAGAATCAATATATCAATATGAGAATGCTACAGCAGTAAACGGTAGATGAAAACACAATATTGCAATTGATAGCCAATAAATCTTGATATCTCGGAGCCTAGGTATTTCCAGATAGATAGATAGATATGAAAGTTAAAATATAAAGAGGAGAGGAAGTACGGATATCAGAGTGATAAATAGAACGCAAGATATAATGAGTCCATCCACCGCTTTAAAACCTTTCACTGCTAACCTTCTAACCTCCTAACCCTCCAACTTCTAACCTACAACCTCCAACCCTCCAAACTAATCACCAAATCTACATATCTTCCAACTTCCAACTCCCAAACCTAACTTATACACCTACCTAACCATAAATGCTCACCGATCACTGATCCTCCACTCCAGACCATCACACATAAAAACGAATCAACTACATCATAGTACATCATCACAACCTAAACTTAAACTTAAACTTAAACTTAAAGTTGACCCCTCACGACCTCTCCTAATACCGCTCCCAAATGCTTTCCCTAAGCTCCTCCTATCCTAAACTTACGCTAAACCCCCTCTCGACCTCTTAACCCCTCGACCAAGAGAAATCTCACTCCAATCCTTTATCCCCCAATATCTAATTAACTCACCAACTACTAAACTAACTAAATAATCAACCTCTAAACCGAATCCAAATCCAAGTAGCTAACTAACTAACTAACTAACTACCAATCCTAGAACCAATCATTGATTTTCTCTCATTACTCAAAATACATTACTCAAAGTACATAACTAAAACTCCTCACAAACCCACAACTAGCCTCTCAATAATCCCTCAATTCCTCAACCACCAAAGATATACCCATACCATACATACACAACAAAAGCATACACACCCTACATAGAAAGAAAGAAACCCCATAAATAAATTAAAAACAAACAGCCTATACAAATCAATCCGATCCAACGCATCAACCTACCCAGCAAACACATACACGACTCAGCAAGCCGTGAGCAGTGAGCAGTGAGCAGTGAGCACCATTATGTTCAATATAGCAAGTAAGATTACGATTGTGGGTTCTCTATAATGAGGAATTGTAAGATCTTAGCTCTAATAATAAGATAACCCTCTTCATTCACACTTACAACTATAATCTTTGCGGTAGGTATATTAAATCAAAGCACATCAACACATCAAAACACACCTCCCCTCTACAATGCAATCCTCCTCCTCCTCAAAAAACCTCCAACCTCCAACCTCCAACCTCCAACTCTTAAAATTTACCCAGTTACTTAGCCAAGCAACATGACTGACTAGCTAAACCCAACCTAAAAAAAACACACACCAGAACCAAGCAAGTAACAGTAACCAAGTTACAGTATTAAACTACAACGGTAGCAGATAATTAATCGGTAATAGTTGTTGGTAATAATTTAATCGTTGATCGAGTAGATCTTTAATTCCTAGCTTGGTATAATAGTATCAATATGATAATGATCTTCAATGGTGTCAAATTCCGGCCCAAATAAACTTCAAATTTATGAATCTAGACCCAACTAGAGTCTTACCGCTCCTCACTATTTTGTAGTCCATGGTCCCGGCAAATAATATCACAAACTGAGAAAATTGTCGATGCAGGGTCTTGGAATATATAAAAATCATTAACATTATTCTTTGATTTCAGTCTAGGTTGGCTTTCATGGAGCTAACACTCCAACTCCACCCATTCAAATCTCAGCCTTACACACCCAAACGCCAGAAGCAAGAAAATGAAACGGCTAGCCCAGTGTCTTCCATGGAAAGCAATTAAGAAATTGTATGAAAAGCTCAATACAAGTGTTAAAAGTTAAAGATCAACATATTAAGACACTGTGCCATTTCAGAATACTACGCACTCGCCCTTGATCTCTCATTACCAGTATTGGTTGTACTTCGTAATTTGACACGAGCGGAGATAGCAGCACGTGCTCCACGAAACCATTCAGACACCTTTGCTCGTAGTCGATGTGCATGCAACTTATGCTCGGGACGTCGAGGATTAGGTGATTCTACGAAGCTGGCTCTCGTGGCATTGAGATCAGCGACAGATTTAGCAGCTAGAGGTGATTGGCCAACGCCTCCACTTTGATCTCTCCAAACTATATCGTCACAAGAATATGATCCATTTCGAGCTACATATGGCACACCAACGCGAGCTCGAAAGTTGGAAATTCTTTTTCTTAAACCATGATTCCCATTGCGATGAGAGCTGTCATCAGAAAAAAAGCTTCTTGCATCCGAGGGGCTCGGTAAATTCCCAGATGGTTCACTATGAGGCATGCCAAGATCCAAGCGAGGAGGCACATTTAGTGATAATTGACTTGGCATCAATTCAATGGCGCCATCTTCAAGTTGCTGATCACTGTTGGCGCTAGGTCTCCGCGAATGAAGATGTCTACTAACGTGTCGGAAGATATTGTCAAATCCAGTGGTGGGTGTGAATAAATCCTTCGGACATGGTATATTCAAATCGTTATTGGATTGATCTCCAGAATCATTGTATATCCTTACAGTTCCAGAGGGTTCTGAGCCTGTAGCTCTAGTGAGTCTCAACTTGAGTTTGACAGGTTTAAGCTCCCCGCCTTGTTCTTCTTGGGTGTTCAGTAGTGAAGTATTGTCTTGTAAATTAGCCCAAGAAGAAGTGTCCTCATTTTTCCTGGCACCAAGCTCCGAAGATGATGGCTTTTCCACAACAGGATTTCTGACCTTGAGCTTCAATTTCATAGGTGAAGAGCGAGGACCATGACTCTCTTTAATCGACTCAACCTCCTGCTTTTTGCTCGGGCTAGGGATCAATTCGGCTTGCTCTAATGAATTTTTAACATTTTCCTTTTCCAGAGAGGGATAAGTCTTCGATGCCTTGATCGGCGACGAGACCACTACACCCTCTTCGACTGGTTTGAATTTTCCTCCAGACAAAATTTCTGAAAAGTGACACGCAATATTGGCGTCTGATATGGCGGACCTTCCAGGTACTGTCAACCCACGAATGGAAGAGTCGGGCAATTTGGGGAGAGACTTCATAAGCTGTGGCACGCTGTTTTTTAATTTTAATTCCCTTGCTGGTGAGATGGGTTTGGGGGCTAACATGGGAGACTCAGGTCTAGGCATAATCTTGCTCGGGACCTGCTCACTGAGATTGTGAAGCTCAGATGGCCTATAACTAGGCAATTTACCCTTTTCGAGTCGCCGCTCATAGACTTGGAGCCCATCTTTGAAACCTTCATCAGGAACCACGCTGTGAATGTAGTCTTTTTCTAATTTCTTGATTGGTGGCAAGGGAGGGCTGGTACGGTGCACCGAAGGAGTATCAAAGTAAGAGTCGCGAGGTAATGTTGGTGACATCATAGGTGTCCTCCGAATCCCAGAGGGATAACCACTACCGAAGGTGTTGGATCGACCAGGATCATCAGTAGGCATTAAATTGGCTAGTTCATCGAGACCAGTATCAATGTTGAAGACACCACTAGACGTAACTCTACTTGCGTGCATAGGATCGAATTTTGATACATCATCACATTCATCTGCATCCTTCGCTGGTTGCTGAAGATCTGTAGTGGGACGCTTCCTAGTATTTGAATGATCACTAAAACTTTGATTATCGGATTTATAAATGATTCCTTTTGCAAGATCATCATTTGTAGTAATTTCCTGAGAACCATTTGTTGATGGAGAAGATGTGGAAGAAACTTCTATTTTTGTGGTTGGTAATGATGAAGACCGTTGTTGATGTCTGGTCTTTGCAATCATGCTGTTAACTGCCACAAGTGTGGTCTCAGCCTGGTTAGCTTCAATTTCTACAGAACCTGGTGTGATCTTGACTTCAAATGATGACGAAGGGAGTAGGCCAAAAGCCATAGACACCCGCGAGTTCAATTCTTGAGCATTGGCACCTAAATTTGACATGTCGATTGAACTGCTGTCATTGGGGACATTATCTGATGAAGCAGAGCTTTCCCCATTTTCAGCATTAATACTAGATGCAGCTCGAACATGACCAACCCCGTTCGGAACGTCATGTGTACTCTCTGCACTGTTCTTTCTCGTCGGGTGTCGAATTATAGTGGATGCCGATGATGATGCACGAAGATGATGAGTATTGCTTCCGTTGAGTCTAGAGGGAAAGCTATGGGCAAGAGGCAAAAGTGCTGAGCTCAAAGGTCGATCTTCATGAATTGTTCTTTGCAGTTGAAATTGTGGTGGTGGCTCCAAGTTTGACCGGTTTTGATTTTCAACTTCGAAGTCTTCGGTATAGTCATAGTACAAAGGTGATGGTTTTCCTGGCGTATTTGTTGCAGATTGTGACAAAGTCGTCGGCACGAAATTTGTAGTCGAGGCAAGGCTGAGTGTACTTCGCGCTGGAGATGTGTTGATCGAAGCTGGGCCGTTGCGGCGATGCCAATCTGATCCCGTCATTCCATTACCTTGACGTAGGTTAGGACTTGGTGTACGTCTCTTCGGTGAAGGCTGGCTTAACAATGAGGGGGTTGATCGATTGGCTTCTGGTCGTAATGACAATGGTGGTGGCACTCGTTTCTGGGCGTATAACGAAGCTGGTGAAGATACGTTGCGAACAGCTCCCTGTCGCACGATGTTAGCTAGAAAATGACTCGAAGTGGCAGTCTCGTAGTAAGAATGGGAAAGACTAACATAAGGGATCCGATCTATCTCCGCACGTCGACTATAGTCTACCCCACCACCATCAGTGAGGGCTGGAGAAGAGGGTCTGAATCCAGGACGTCTCAAGCGTGTTGGGTATGCGAATGGAGATCGAGGCCGTTGGACAAGTACAGCTCCATCTTGCTGACTGCGCAGGCTTGCATATGACCTTTGGTTAGAAAGAGTATATGCTGAATTGGATGCTGTCTGGGTCATTGAGTAAGATCGATAATCAGGGTCCTCAAAGCCCCTATTGCTTGAATTGACAGACTTGACGCTGGAAGAATCATACAATGATTTGATACCTGAGGAACCTTTTCTTGTGTAAGATGGCAGTCGTCTTCTGTCATCAACTATTGGTGCGCCATAAGTCTGGAAAATCGGCCGTGGCCTCTGCAGAGGATCATGGTCTCTATAACCTCCATTACTGCGCCGTGGCAATGTATTGGAAGATTGAGGTAGGCGCGAAGGCTTGATAGAGAATAAACCAATATCCCCTGTTTCGGTTGTAGTTTTCAACATACCCTCAAAACCTTTTGGTAGTGAGGGCGGAGTGCTACTATCTTGAAAGGTTCTGATCGAGCTCCCATTGCGTATTGATGCTTTGTCGATACTCGCTCTCGGTCGCAAAGGATTCATACCACTTGGGCCAATTGAACCATTACCAGTACTAATACCACTATAGCCCCTTTCGCGACTCAATGGCTGTTTTCCCGGTGGAACTGTTGCCATTGTGGATGCATTTGATGTATGCCCACTTGGATATGATTAATGATGACTTGAAGATAACACTGAAGAAAGTAATTATTCACTCTGGGGGAAGGCCAAAGAAATGGTATGCAGATACGAGTTTAAGGTTAAAAGAAGTGGCAGAAAGTGATTTGAAGCTGACCAAAATATAATCCCCAGCTTATGAGAATCTGTAGATCTACAGATGATGATGATGAGAAACGAAGAGGTAGTTGTAAGATAACACTTCTGACAAACAAACTGGTGAAAGAACATTTGATGGTTGATGGAAGTCGGTACTGTTAAAGTGAAATGAAAAGGGAAAGTGCATGGTTGGGTACATGAGTGCGGGTGAAATGGGGGAAATGGGTGATTACCCAATCGAGAAGGCCTGATGGTGAGTTCCTATTCTATGTAAGTCTCGCCACCCTCATTGTCCTTAAAGGCTCCTCACAAATTCCATATGAAGGAAGCATTGCTAGAGACCCATCATATCCTTCACCTCATTATCAGGGGAAAAAAAGAAGAGGAGTTAGGTATTGTCTGGTGAGCCACATTGATGTTAGAATCTTCATGATAGGTCGGTCGTACCTATGCATCAACTTGAGATCATGTTATATAAATCCTCCTACAAGCTGTTGGTTTCATGTAGGTCGGTGGCTTTGAATAAGATACCTAGTACCTCTGTTCAGTATATTTTCAAATCAATCTTTCAAACACTTGAATCCCTTTCTGGTCTGGTTGCCTTCATCATAATTTATCTCATTGTACTTGTTTCGCACTCATTTTATGATATCGTGTTACAATATTACTATGAAGAGTTTGTAATATTCCTCCAATTCAAGGAAAGCCTGGCTCTCATCATCCTATTTGCGTGCACTTACAAATATGCCGACTCTGGTATCCATACCACGATAAGTCAGTCTCTTGGAGAAGAGATGAAATAAAATCGAACTTCGTTGATTTGGAGGGGATTTTCCGTCCTACCTCAGATGGATGTACACAGAAAGCTGTATCTGGTTGTCCCTAGGAGGTTTACATAGCTTCCCCAAGATCAGAATCATTTTGTAATATTCTCATGAAATGATGATGTGCTATCCCACAGATAGGTGTTGTATTTCTTCTGGAGTCAATAGCAATGAACAAAGCTGGTAGCCAACAGTGTATGTTGTGATGGATTATGAACAGGCTATTGAACCACGCATCAGCATCTGCTAATCAAGAACCACAAACCAATTATCAGTAATGGAGGACTGTACCTTTGTCTCAGATCACAGCTCAAAATCAACAGCCCCGACTCACTCAGATATCTCCAGAGTTACAAGTCAAGAGTCTCTGATCTGTTCATAAATCGGTGGACTTTTGACAATCAGTAGGGAATAAATGTAAGATTATATATATTTGTATGTAAGTGGAGATGCAAAGAGGAATAGGCTGAACCGATCCTTACCTGGACTGATCAGCCTCGTACAAATGGGGTTGGCAATGCATAATGTGACAACTTGTCAATGTATATGACTTTTCAGTCCAAGTAACCTTAGTTGTGTCAATTGCATAAAATGTAAGTTCACAAGGTGTTAGAATGTGCCACTTCAATAGGACAGAAGGAGAAGAGGTCATGGGAGTAGGTATATTGGATATATCCCAAGGAGGAGTGGACAAGAGCTAACCTGCACTGCGGGTCAAATCAGAGGTAACCATAGTTATAGTTAAAGTTGTTATCAAACTTGCGGGGTTGAAATAAGGAACCAGGTACATAGTGGATCTTCAATATACATTATGTATCCTCAAAATAAGCAGATACATGTGCTGAGTAATATGGAAATGAAGATGATTTGTTGTCCTTTACTCCGTACTCAATTTTGGATTTCTAATAGTCAACATGATCCAGCCTAATATAGTATGTACGGGCTAAATTCAGTCTTAGCATTTCCAGAGGGGTTCGTTCATAGCTAGGTGCGAATAGTCCGCATAACATGAATTCTTCAGTACTCCGCATGTCCCTGTCGGTACCTACTTATTATTATTAGTGGTACACAGTGGCAAGTAAAGACACGCTGTTATCTTTAATCATTAGCGAGAAGGCTGATAAATTCACAGTAGCCGAACCACCAGATCATTGAATAAAGGGAACACCTCTCCTCTTCTTGCTTATACAAATCAAATCCAACTCTCTCTCTCTCTCTTTCTTTAGCACGACCAATATTAAGACGTAAGTTTCAAATCATTTGGTGACTCCAATTCTCAGCAATTCCATTCAAATTGCACACTTTTGCACTTTCCCATTGAAATTTCCATTAACACTTTGACTTATAGGTCCGTGGACAGAAATACCTTCAACATGCGTTATATCCAGTGTGTTGCATTAGCTTTTGCATCAGCTGCAATTGCTTCGGCTTCTGATGTAACTTCTCTCACCAAGGAGACATTCCCAGATTTCGTCAAGGAGAATGATTTGGCCCTTTTAGAGTGTTAGTTTTCCGACGCAACGCATTTACCTCTTGTGAACTACCAACTAACCTTTCATCCTATAGTTTTCGCACCTTGGTGTGGTCACTGCAAAGCATTGGCACCTGAGTATGAAGAAGCTGCTACAACATTGAAGGAGAAGAAGATCGCCTTGGCCAAGGTTGATTGCACAGAAGAGGCCGACCTTTGCCAATCCTACGGCGTCGAGGGTTACCCAACTCTCAAGGTCTTCCGTGGCCCAGACAATGTCTCCCCATATTCTGGTGCAAGAAAAGCTCCAGCGTAAGCAGATGCATTGCCACTCAGGAATCTTTCATAGCTAACAATCATTTTAGGATCGTCTCATATATGACCAAACAATCCCTCCCGGCCGTCTCAGTCTTAACCAAGGACACATTGGAAGATTTCAAGACTGCCGACAAGGTGGTTTTAGTTGCATATTTCGATGCTGAAGACAAGGCCTCAAATGCTACCTTTGACACTGTCGCAGAGAAGCTCCGTGACGATTATCTATTCGGTGCCAGCAATGATGCAGCTTTGGCAAAGGCTGAGGGTGTTAGCTTCCCATCCATCGTTCTTTACAAGTCGTTCGATGAGGGCAAGGCTATTTACCCAGATGCTTTTGAGGTCGAGGTCATCGAGAAGTTCGCCAAGACTGCATCAATCCCATTGATTGGTGAAGTTGGCCCAGAAACCTACGCCGGATATATGGCTACTGGACTTCCATTGGCATACATTTTCGCCGAGACTCCAGAGGAGAGAACTGCCCTCGCCGAGGCTCTTAAGCCAATTGCTGAAAAGCACCGTGGCGCAATCAGCTTTGCAACCATCGACGCAAAGGCTTTCGGAGCTCACGCTGGTAACTTGAACCTCGAGGCTGATAAGTTCCCTGCTTTTGCTATCCAAAATACTGTCGACAACAAGAAATATCCTTTCGACCAAAAGAACGAGGTCACTGAAGCTACCATCAGCAAGTTCGTCCAACAATACTTTGACGGAAAAGTTGAGCCAAGTATCAAGTCTGAGCCAATCCCAGAGACGCAAGAAGGTCCAGTTCAAATTGTTGTAGCTCACAACTACGATGACATCGTTTTGGATGATAAGAAAGATGTTCTGATTGAGTTCTACGCTCCATGGTGTGGACACTGCAAGGCTCTTGCACCAAAATACGATATCCTCGCTGGTCTTTACGCGGATGCTGGTCACACTGACAAGGTTACCATCGCTAAGGTTGATGCTACTCTCAACGATGTTCCAGATGAGATTCAAGGTTTCCCAACCATCAAGTTGTACAAGGCTGGAGACAAGAAGAACCCAGTCACCTACAATGGCAGCCGTAGCATCGAGGATTTGATTAAGTTTGTTAAGGAGAACGGCAAACATGAGGTTGAAGTTACCTATGACGAGACCGCCCCAGAGGCTGAGAAGCCTGTTGCTGAGTCTTTGGCCAAGCAAGCAGAGGCAGCTACTGAATCAGCAAAGAGCGCTGCTAAGGAGGCTAAGGAGACCGTCTCTAGCAAGGTCGCTGAGGCCACTGAGGCCGCAGCTGCTGAGGAGCACGACGAGTTGTGATTTATTTTCAAAAGAAAATTGGGGTTTCATCTGTATTGTCTATCGGGGTTGCCTCTCCTGAGATTGTTAAACTCAATAATATCCAAGCGAAATGAGAAATATTTTATTTAATCATTTAAAATTCACCCGTGAGAAAATTGTTGTCCGTATCATGTAGATCTTTCTGCCTAATTTTCCTTAAAAATAAATATGTAAAGACCTCGGGAAGTGATGGGGACTTGTAAACAACAACCCCGCAATGATTCGTTTCCCACTGAAAATTGTTCGAGCCTCAGGAAGTTGTGTGGCCGGGGAAAGCTCCAAACAAAGCTTGATCATCAACAAAACATACGACAGAGGTCAATTAAAGAACTTCACACCACTTCGTAACAAAGCATTGACGGCACTTTCGAACGTCTTATTTTTACAAACTATCACACTTGACATCTACGCGTTCTACGATACAACATAAGAAAGATATAATGGCATCGCGCATCTTCACACCCGCGAGCAGAGTGCTTCGCGCCCCGGTAATGGGAGGAGCTAGCAGAAACTTTTCGATGAGTGTGAGGAGAGCGACTCCCGTTACTGAAAATCCTTTACCGGTTAGGAAACCAGTTGGCGCTTTTAGAGGAGGGTAAGTCTTTTCTTGATTTTTGGAGGGGAGACTTGAGTGGAAGAAAGCTTGGAGTTTGACGGCGGGGATGGGATAGGAGGGGGGTGGTTGCCAGTTGGGAAGCGGAGGGAATGAGATGAGGCATCAGGGAGAAAGGAAGTGTATATATAGATTATGGGCTAACAATAGGTGTGAAATTAGATTGTTCGGCTTCTTACTTGGATCTACGTTGGCTGGTGCAGGGGTCTACTATTATATTCTGGAGGAATATAAGGTTAGTAATGAGTTGTTGACGGAGGATATTTATGTGAGTTTAAGTTTTTGTCTTTATGATTGCTCGTACTTGAGTGGGTGGATGGGTTTAGAGTGAAGGAAGGGTAGCTTCGAGAGCATGACTGTAGAGATGGAGAGGTGTTCAAGGATGAGAATATGGCTAATCATGTCTATGACACAGAGTCTGCAAAACTCAGTACAGCGAGTTCATACATACGTTCAATCGCTAGAGGAAAAGCTTGCGGATTTGGAAAAGAAGAAGAAATAAATGGAGAGGGAGAATAGGAATGGATGCGCTGCGATGACGATTGGGAAATGGCCATCATTGTCCGGGTTGCTACGGCTGGGAATGCAGCGAAAGGAGATTGTGTATAATATCTGAAATTCGATGAGCGAGAGAGTTGAGATTATGAATATCTTTGCGAGCTGCAAGTATAATGCTAGGTATACAGGAAATAAGTAACATCTCCAAGTACCTATTTTTGCGTGGTGGGGGTGCGCCAGCTTTGAAACTTATTTTTGGTTTGGAGCTCTGCGAAAGCTTTAATTACAGTGCTAGAATCTCCTTTTGACCTGCAATGTATAATTATAGCTGAAGTAATTACGGCCACTACTCTTCCAAACATATATTCTGATTTCTGGTGAAATCCCTTATGTTCCGGTTCGCGCAAAACCTGACACTCGACAACCATCAGCCTCGCCTCGGCAGCCAGCACCCAAAAACCATCTATCCATCCCTCAACCATCTTCCCTCTTTCTCACAACGCACCAAACCTTCATCCATCCCACCCACAAAATGAATTTCGGGGTCCTCGAAATCGCGCCTTCAAAAGCCGCTCCCGCCCCAGGCTGGGCATACGTCCCAGATATTTCCAGCACGCCACAAATCGGCTTACAGCCTTCGTCGCGTCGCGCGCGCGGTCCCAATAGTGCGGGTGCGGGCGCCTTGAATGCGCATGAGACGACGAAGAAACAGGATGCGAAGATTTTGAGGGAGTTGCAGTTGTTGGATCGGGAGAATCATAGGGATGTTAGTATACCGGTTATGGCGAGGGGTGGTGGGAGAGGTTGGTTTTTTTTCTTTTTGTGTGGTTTGTTTTCTTTTTTTGGGGGAGGGAGTGAGGAGGGAATGAGGATGTGGTAAATGGGACGAGAGAATATATTATATATTTGCAATTGCTAACTGAATCGCATATATATAGTAACTCAAGGTAAACTAACCCCCGCCGTACGCAAAATCCTCGCCTCTCAAAAAACTTTCGCAAATCATCTCTCCGACTACGAAGCTCTCGCCTCCCTCCCATCTACCTCCACATCCACAACTCAACAACCCGCATCCCCTGCAGTATCTACTCCCCAAGCATCAACCCCAGGCCCCGGTCTAACCAGCACCGGTAAAAGAAGCCACAAAAGAAAAGAACCCCTCCCACCTGGCATCGACCCCCCCAAGCGAAGCCACAAAAAAAAAGATCCAAACGCACCAGCCATCTCAACCCCCTTGAGAAAATCCTCCACTCCATCCCTCAAACCCGAGCTCCCTCCTATATCTACCCCCATCCTCACACCCTTCATCACTACCCTCGCATCGCCTAAACCGCATCCGAGAGATACTGACCCGTTGCTCATTTCTCGCGTGCCTAATCTCCCAAGTCAGGAGGAAATGGAAAGATTATTGGCGGTGCCGCCGTTGAGTTATAATGAGGCGAGGGGCGGTTGTACGGATGAGGATAGACGGAAACCCGGGAGGCTCTTTTGTGAGGTTTGTGGATATTGGGGTAGAGTGAAGTGTTTGAGGTGTGCGGGGAGGGTGTGTGCGTTGGAGTGTTTGGAGGTGCATAAGGAGGAGTGTTTTGCTAGGTATGGGGCTTGAGAGAGGAAGGAGAGGAGGAAGGGGAGGGGGAATGGGAAGAGAAGGGGAGAAGGGTTATTGGTTTTGGTTTTGTGTACTTTTTATGGATACCCGGAATGGAAAATGCGCGGAGTTGTATTATGTTATATTACATTATGAGAGGGGAACGGAAGGAAAAAGGAATCAAAGGAAAAGCATGATATGCAAAAATATAAGGGTTTGCTACCTAATAGTAATACTACATACAAAAATCTCAAATGTCTCAGCCTATGAGCCTGCAGAAGAATCAATCACTACCCATGTAACCTTACCTAGCTAGGTAGGTAGATAGATGTGGATTCTCTTTTTCGACTTCGAGTTTGGACTTGGTATGTATATATGTATACTAGATAGGTAGGTACAAATTGGTAGTTCATATCATCCCATCTATCTATCTATTTATTTATTTATCTATCTGACTATCTGATATTTAGATTTAGATTTAGATTTAGACAGTGAGATTGAGGAAGAGAGATCTCGGGGGGAAGAATTTATCTTTTTTGTGGAAGAAAAATAAAAAATAAAAAATATTGGTTACATGTTTGTAGAGGTTATTGTCTATTTTTATTTCATTTCGTTTTATTTCATGGTCATGGTTAAAAATCGCTTGCTGTCTGTTATGCTCGTAACGTTTTTATCATCAACTTCCACTTTCCTTCCCACCCCATCCATCCTATCCCGGCATCCATTTCCTCGCTCCTCCCTTCATCCCCACCACTCAATCAATCAATCAATAACATCATCCCTCAACCCAAACAACTCCCCCATCATCTCCCCTGTCCGACTCCTCACCGCATCATGATACATCCCATTAGTAACCCACTGTTTACAACCCCTCACCAACCTTACTGTCTCCTGCGCCAACCCAAAATCTACATACATATCATCCACATACGTAGCCGCATACATAGGTACCTCGTTGCGTGCTAATTGCCATTCGTCGTATAAGGGTGGCCAGTCGGTGTATTCAGCGAGGAGTTTTGCGGCGGGGTAGATGGAGGAGAGTTCTGGGGATGTCTCGAACATGAAGGGGTAGATCATTTCGCCGGAGAAGTAGAGGGGTTCGCTGATTATAGAGGTGGGAGAGCGGGGGCGTCCAGAAAGCCATTTGTATTCTGAGAGGGTTTTGCCGACCTGTGGAGGGAGGGAGGGGTCAGGGTTTGTGTGGAGGGTGAGAGGGTGGAAGGGATGTGAAAACTTACTCGGTCGGCAGCCCAGTCTGAGGCTTTGCCTTGGCAGTAGATTGATTCGTGGAGTATGGCGTAGATTACGTTGTTATCCATACTGTAACAATGGGAAGTCAGTATGTGCCTTCCACGAAGTAGATGTAGCGGGCAGCGAGGAACCAAAGAAGTACAAGGGAGGAGAATGATGAAAAATCCAAAGATGGCTAGACACTTGGGAGATAGTATGCAAAAAATAAAACAGATTTCGCTCACCTGACCATATCCTCAATAGCCTTAAGAGTAGGTTTAGTAACGAAAGAAAATTGATCCAAATCCGAGCTCATCCTCAACACAATATCATGAACCATATCCAGTCCCCCATGGAAACCAAAATTAATCCCCATAGTTAAGAACATCCTCACAGTCAAGGTACCACCCGATGGCATTTGAAGTCCATTCTTAGCGCTAATATGAATAGCTAGTCCTTGAATTACAGCGACATCTTCGGGGAACTTTTGATAGTAGGCTCGATTTCGCTCAATGACTTTTTGGAAGGTGGCGCGGTAGACTCGGTCGGCTGAGTGACCGACTGGGGCGAGACCACCGCTGGTGAAGACTTCGCGGAGGCCTTGGTGGTGGAATGAGAGATAGGTGAGGACGCAGAAACCACCGAAGGATTGGCCGAAGACGGACCATCTGGAAATGTTAGCGGATGTCCATTCTCACTTGTAGTGTGAATCCACGATATGGAAGACGGAACTGCTGTGCATTCAGAGGCGGAAGTCTGGAGAGCATGGAAGAAGACAAAACCTCGAGACAGGAGAATCTGAGAAAGACGAATAAATCACATACTTCTTAAGCTCTTCAGGATAATCCGCAGTAAGGATCTTTCTTATAGCCTCACAATCCCTCACAATATTATCAGCTCTAAAATGCTTAAGATAATCCGCTTGACGATGGGCATCACCCTGTAAAGCCAAAGTAGCAGCCGAGATGGGATTACTCAATCCAGTACCACGTTGATCGATATACAGCATCTGATAGCCTTTACCAAGAACCACGTTGGTAATTGGAGCATCTTGAGGAGGTCTGCATCCAAAACCTGGTCCACCTTGAAGGTAGACGAACCAGGGCTTTTGGGAAGACTTGCGGATTTCTTCTTCAGTGGATTTTGCTGCTGGATTCTCATGTCTGATCACGCTTCGCGCGAAGATTCGGATCGAACCTTTTGATTCATTTGAATAGCTAGATAGGTTCGAATCAGCCTCTTGTCTCAAGAAGAGATACCGAATGCTGCTTGCTTCTAGCAAGAAGGAATACTTTCGGGAAAATCACTCACTCCAAAGGGACTTCGAAGAATAACTCCGAGACCTTAAGTTTCCCTGTAGGTATGTTAACTTTATTTCTTATGTTTGAGTAAGAAAGCAGAGGAGAAAAAAGATCAAAAGTCCAGATAAGAAACCTAGCTATGCTCACAGATTGACCTAGACTGAGCTCAATTGAGGAGGCGGATAAAAACAAATTCGCAATGAGATAGAAGAAGAAAAAGTATACCTATTAAGCAGATATAAAATTTCAAAAAAGAAATACCATCTTACCAGGTATCAAATGTGTTTTCGAGTCCACAAGCTGAGATAAAGACATTTTAGTAGGTAGTGTTGAGCGTGGCGTTGTCCTTAACAATTTAAAAAGTTGTTTGTTGAGGGTGAGCATAAGAGGTGAGAGCCGGAGAGGTATGTTGACAAAAAGTGATTCTCATATATTGAAAACTCAAATCCACGTAGATATATAAATTGCTGGCAGATAACGAAGCACCGACTGAGATATGTTCAATGTGATATCTCGCGCCCAAAAGAAGATAAGCAACGAACAGCAGATGGAAAAGAATGAGATAGTGAGACTATCCAAGTATAATAAGTATGTATAGTCACTTGATACATATAAAATATAGAGAAGGCACACTGCTTTTATATGTAGCGAGTGTTATCGGCTTAGGAAGTGGTGGATCTTCACATGTAACTTACATGAAGATATACTTGGTAATGTCGTATGTTTGGAGGGAAAGTCCATCCAAACGTGGGGCAAAATCATCTCACAAGGGTGGATGCAGGTGCAGATTTGTGCAAGCCACATAAATCCACCCCACCAAGTATACAGAGGAATAAACATCTTTGTTAGAGAAAAAGTTGATTGGGATCAATAGACCAAGACTCGAAGGTATGTGATTTTCAGTATTATTTCTTCTGCACAGAAACATTTGAGATGAAGAAATGAGTGGAGTTGTAGTATTATGCTTGTGCGATGGATGGGTCTTGGGGAAAATGAAAGTTCATTTTTGCAGGTCTCGTGCTTGCAGAATCTTCCTTCCATTCACTGGCTGTATGGCAAAACATGCAAAACCGCACATAGAGCTCCAGGTACCGTAAAAAAGGCATCTAAAAAATGACACAGGATCAACATCATCTCATCCATCACACATACAAGCACTATATCTACAAAACGCTAACTCTATTCTCATCAGTCACGTGATATATCTACACCACACACTCTCCCGCCTACTCCTTTGCTTCCTCTCCAGCTATCCAAGATGGCCAAGGACAAGAAATCCAAATCCGAAGACAAGAAGAAGAAGCTAGCTGAGAAGAAGCAAAAACAAGAAAAGAAAGCCGACAAAAAAGAAAAATCCAAAGCCCAAAAATCCAAATCCGCCGACGACTCCGACAATGAATCCATCGACCTCGATTCCGTTCTGGCCGAATATGCCAAAGCCCAAGAATCCTTTTTGAAAATCACTGAAGTGACTTGCGATGCTCCTAGACCAAGAGCTTCTTCCACTCTGATTGCTAGTCCTAGTAATGCGAATGAGTTGTTCTTGTTCGGGGGCGAGTATTTTAACGGTGCTTTGGCAACTTTCTTTAATGATTTGTATGTTTATGCTATTAATAAGGATGAGTGGCATGTGGTGACTAGTCCGAATGCTCCATTGCCGAGATCTGGACATGCGTGGTGTAGAGGTGGAAATGCGGGTGGGATTTATTTGTTCGGAGGGGAGTTTTCGAGTCCGAAACAGGGGACTTTTTATCATTATAATGTGAGTTTTTCTTTTCGTTTCAGTCCAACCTCAACTGAAGATGAGGATCGTGGATATTTGGAGATATACTAACACTTTACACAGGATTTTTGGCACCTTAGCCCCTCCGAACGTGAATGGACCCGTCTAGAAACCAAAGGTAAAACCCCTCCAGCCCGTAGTGGTCACCGCATGACCTACTACAAAAACTACATCATCCTCTTTGGAGGTTTCCAGGATACATCACAAGCCACAAAATATCTCTCTGATCTCTGGATCTACGATACATCAAACTTCATCTGGTACAACCCTGTTCTCCCAACCGTGATGCAAAAGCCCGATCCCCGTTCTTCATTCACCTTTCTCCCTCATGAAAGCGGTGCTATACTGTACGGAGGCTATTCCCGAGTCAAGACAAATGTATCTGGCAAACAAATGAAAGGTGGTGGGACGGCCATGAGAAATGTATTGAAACCCATGGTGCATCAAGATTGTTTTTTCCTCCGAATCACCCAACCAGCTGATACATCATCACCCACTCCTCCAACCGTTCGTTGGGAACGTAGGAAAAAACCTGTTAATACGCCAAATCCTCCTCGTGCAGGTGCTACAATGGCGTACCACAAAGGACGTGGTATTCAATTTGGTGGTGTACATGATGTTGAAGAGTCTGAAGAGGGAATCGATAGCGAGTTCTTTAACATGTTATTTGCGTGGAATATAGAACGAAATCGTTACTTCCCGCTCGCTCTCCGCAAACCTAGGATTCAAAAGAAAAATAATGGTGGAAATGAGAGGGGAGGGAGAAGAGGAAGAGGACAAGCAAATGAAGAGGAATTATTACGAAATCTAGCAGCGCTTGAAACTGGAAAAAGTCTAGCTGATGCAGACGAGATGGAAATTGAGACAAAGCAAGATGATGAAGATGCAGATGCATTACCCGCCAAACAGATCCTCATGGAATTTCCCCATGTGAGATTTAATGCACAATTGGCTGTCCAAGATGATGTTCTTTATATCTATGGAGGTACATATGAAAAAGGCGATAGGGAATTTACATTCGACGATATGTACGCCATAGATTTAGGTAAAATGGACGGCGTGAAGGAGATTTTCCGACGCGAACCAGAGAACTGGTTAGGAAGTGAAGAGGATAGTGAAGAAGAAGACGAAGATGACGAAGAATACGATGAGGACGATGAAGAGGAGGAGGAAGAAGAAGAAGAAGATGAAGAAGACACCACCACAAAAATAGAAAATAAACCCCACCTCCACACAGAAAGCACCCGAAAATCCAAACACAAAAACAAAGACTCCAACACCCCCTCTCTCTCCACATCCATCTCCACCCCCGAAACACCCTCCACAGCAACCTTCGACGACACACCCGACACCACCTCCTCCCAACTCTCACCAGAAGACCAAGACCATCTCCCCCACCCCCGTCCCTTCGAATCCCGTCGCGATTTCTTCCAAAGAACAGGTAATGAATGGCAGGAAGCACTTATGATGAGTCTTAGATGGAAAGGTATACAACCTGAGACGTTAGGGGTTAAGGAAATTAAAACGAAGGCCTTTGAGATGAGTGAGGAGAAGTGGTGGGATTGTAGGGAGGAGGTTTTGGCGTTGGAGGATGAGTTGGAGATGAGTGGGATTGGGGAGGTGGTTGCTGGGGAGAAAGCGGAGGGTGACGGGGGTGGGGAGGAGGAGGTAGGGTTGTGGGTTTGGGGGTTGGGTTGGGTGGTAGGGTTGGGTTGAGTTGGTGGGGGATGAGAGGGATAGAGGGAAGGTGGGGGATGACAGGGAAAAGGGGAAGAGAGACGGAGGGAAGGGTGTGGGTATGTGTATACCTTTTTGGGCAATGAAGAAAATTGTAAGTAGATTTGTGGATGGATTATATTGACACTGTGATGATATAATGGCAAGGAGCCTTCCTACAAACGTTTACCCATATATAACTCCACCCTAAAACTAACAAATATTCCTCACTAAAATACCATATTCAATATAAAACCTCATCTCATACCCGCCTAACGCCAAACCCAATATTAATAACCTCGTCCCAATCATACAGAACTCACAAATCCATTCCACCCCACCAAAATAAAAACCCAAAATTTCCAAACCAACTCCCCAATACCGCCTCACACACCCCTCCTCACCCCACAAATCCCGCAAAATACCACATCTCCCGCATTAATATACATCCCCTCTTTACAACCCATACTAGTACATTTCCACGACCCATGTATATGTTCTGGATAGAGGACATGAGCGCAAATTGTACAGGTGAGTGAAAGGGGCGGGTTTTCGAAGGAGCAGATTGTGCAGGTTAGGGAGGTTGATGAGGAAGGGGCTGTGGTTGTAGATGAGGTTGGTTGTGGTGGAGATGGTTTTGTTTTGGATGGGGAGGAGGTGGAAGTGGAGGGTGGTTTTTTTTTGATTGAGGTGGTTTTTGGGGTTGGGGTGTCCTTGGTATTTCTATTTTGAGGGTGGTTTAGTGATTTTGATAACTTAGCTGTATTGGACATTACTTCTTCTTTCGGTTCCCGCTTAACCCTCGAACATCCACTGGCATCCGGTTTAAAGTATCTTTCAATACTCTCCATACCTCTCAACTCCTCAAACTCCCTCTTCGAATCTTCATTATCCCTACCCTCATCCTCACAGACCTTAACCATCCCTCTTCCTTTTTGATCCACAAGTCTACTTCCATCAAGATCAAGCGCATCATCTGGTTCAGGCTTAATGTATATTTCGTCGTCGACACTTTCTGCTTCGCTATCGGTTACTAAATCTTCATCTTTTATATCTGGTTCTTGTTTCTTTATCTCGAAGCGAGCCAATGCTGCTGCCGCGCGAAGATCTCTTCCTCTCTTGCTGTTGGCTACTTTGGGTTTGGAGAGATTAATTTTGCCTTTTTCGAGGGCGATTTTGGTGGTAAGGTCTTCACCCACTGTTGTTTAGATTAGTTTTTGAAGAAATAAATCATGACTGCCAAGATACTCACAAGCCAACCCATTAACACCAAATTTCTTCCTAATCCTCCTCTCCTTCTGCTCCTTATAAGTAATCTTCGGTTTTGCCTTTCTCTTCTTTCCACCTCCTCTCGACCTAAAAGTCCCACCACACAAATGTTCCGGCAATACCTCCCCTTCACCCAACCGATCTTCCATAAATGCACCATCTTTCAACAATACCCCCTGTCCCCAAAGTCCATCACCCGTATACCCCTTCTCCCAAAGTCCCTTCATCTCAGCCGAATACTCATTTCGAACTTTCCAAAACGCCCCAGAATGATTCATCTGTTTACAATGCGCCAATTCATGCATCATGACCATTTGAACAAATTGAAACGGTAGCCATCTTCCCGTTGAGGGGGATTTCAGAACAAGTTGGACTACTTCTCCGTTATTAAAGTTGCGACCTAGATATCGAATTTAGCATTTACACAAGGAACCAGGAAGAAAAGTAGAGCCTTACCCCAGAATTCTAAGTTAGGGGGATATTCTTCGAGAGATGCGACGGAGAGATGATGTTTGTTCATTATAGGGGTACATTGTGCTGCGATTCGTTCGAGAAATTCTTGTGATTTAGATTGATCTTCTCCAGGGAGGGGTTTGATGAAGACGATATTGTTATTTGGTTGTGTTCGTTTGGCGTTGATTCTTTCCCAACCTAAAGGCATGCTGAATCACTATTTGAGGAATGGGATGAAGATGGATGAGATGCTGTGAGCTAGCAGATTATGCTCTTCTCATGTACATTGAGGAGGAGATTATTAAAGGGTCTAGCTTTGGATAGATGGATGTCGATGTGACAAGAGGGGGCGATAACGATAAGGGCTTCGCGAATTATCAAGAACGCGTTCTTTTAAGACGCCTATTCACGTGCCATGCAAGAACCCCTCACTAATCCCACAATTCGCTTCCACGGATTTGACTTGCCGTGCAGTCTTATCTCCCCGGTCTCGACCCCTAAGATCCAACATATCATACAACATGTTACCACAAAACTTGATGCCGATTCTTGATGCCGAGGCCATGTTGGGATTTAATAGTGGTGTCTGATTGTGTCTGACTCCCAAACTATTGATAGTTGGATAAGAGAAATGAGTAACGGCGGGGAGCTTGACAAGCGTCGCCCCCGAAATTCTCGTCAAATCATTTGACGTCATACTGGTTGGTCGGTGGTAGGTCTCATGTGTTCCATACTAGGTAATTATACTCCCAGGGAGATTCATCTGTTCACACTATATATACTTCAACTTCTCTCTGAAGGGTGCTTTCTTTTTCCATCTCATTCCAGCCTCTAAAGTCTTCTCTTATATCATACCTACCCTTTCTTCAATTTCAACACCCCACCAGAAAACCTCACATCAGATTCTCAAAAAGTAACCTATGATGTCAACATCCACACAACCCAAAAAACCCTTCCACGTCGCTATTTGCGGTATGTTGAACCCAAAACACATTATAAACCCTACCTAACAACATCCTAGGCGGAGGTATCGGTGGCTTATGTATGGCAATTGGTCTCCTGAAGCAAAATATCCCATTCACAGTATACGAAGCCGCACCTGCATTTGCAGAAATTGTATGATCATATCATTCCTGCTTGATTAACCTCGAAGCTCATATTTCATAGGGTGCAGGAATATCATTTGGACCTAATTCTCTCCGGGCAATGGAATTAATAGATCCACGTATTAAACATGGGTTCGAGAATTGCGAAACAAGGAATGGTTCTCCAGAAGAGAGAGACATTTGGTTTGATTTCCGGATAGGTATGGCGGAGGAAGGTTGGAAAGGGGTTGAAAAAGGACCACCAGTAAAGGAAGGAGAATTTCTGACCGAAGTTGTGGCGAAAGGTTGTGGACAAGCTTCCGTTCATCGAGCGCATTTCCTCGATGAATTAGTCAAGTTGGTTCCAAAGGAAAACGCTCGGTTCGGGAAGAGAGTTGAGAAGGTAGAAGAGAGGGGAGACAGATTATTAATGACTTTCCAGGATGGAACGACGGCTGAGGCCGATGCCGTAATTGGTTGTGATGGTATTAAATCGAGAACTAGACATATAGTTCTTGGTGATGATCACAAGGCTACCTTACCTGTTTTCACTGGAAAATATGCATATAGGGGATTAATACCTATGGAAAAGGCAATTAATGCTGTTGGTGAATCTTTGGCTAGAAATAGCCAAATGTACCTAGGTCATCAGGGCCATGTAAGCATCCTTCCCAGCTACCTCAAATTCCACTAACATATCCTTAAGGTCCTAACATTCCCCATCGAAAAAGGAGCCACAATGAACGTCGTAGCATTCCGCACTAAGAAAGACGGAAAATGGAATAACGAAAAATGGGTTCTCCCAATCAAAGAATCAGACATGGTTTCCGATTTTCAAGGCTGGGGCAAAGATATAAAACACATCCTATCACTTATGGAAAAACCCGACGTCTGGGCAATCTTTGATCATCTCCCCGCTCCAACATACTACAAAGGCCGACTAGTGCTCCTCGGCGACGCAGCTCATGCCAGTACGCCCCATCAAGGAGCTGGCGCTGGACAAGCTATCGAAGATGCATTCATCTTGAGTAATTTACTAGGGGATTGTAGGAAGGTGAGAGATATTGAAAGCGCGTTTAGAGCGTATGATATGGTTAGAAGGCCTAGAAGTCAGAAGGTTGTGAAGACGAGTAGGGAGGCGGCGGAACTTTATGAGTTTGAGAATGAGGAGATTGCGGGGCTTGCAAATGGAGTTGTGGATATGGAGGGTTTGAAGGAGAGGTTGAGGGAAAGGACTAAGTGGATCTGGGATGAGGATTTGGGATTGCAGTTGCAGGAGGCGAGGAAGATTATGAAGATGCGTGGTGAGAGGGCGAATCTTTGAAAAGGGGATGTGATAGGTATGTTGTGGTTATGGTTATGGTTATGGTATAGAGCACCAGGTCTCTCTGTCTATATGTTTTGCGAAAAGTTCAAGAGGAGGGTTAAGTAGAGAGAGCTACTAGGCTGAGATGATAGGAACATATAATTATAATTATCTTCCACTTATATAGGATAGAACACCAACTATAATAATCTTACTTTTAAAACATTACTCGGTTTCATTTCAATAACAGCTTGCTAATTACCACTCTATCAACTTAATACTCATATTATTTCCTCCAGCTTCGCCTTTTAAGGTAAGGCTTACTTTCCGCCTTAATTATTCAATAAACATCCCCTGATTTATAGTCTCTTTTCCTTTCCTCCGTTTTCCCCGTTTCTTTATAACCCTTTTTTCCTTGGACAGATTGCAGGGTAGGAGGGGGAATATATATGTAAAGGAATATTCGTAACCAGGCCAGAATATAGCATCGAGACAGGCTTTTCGGGTTGGGATCACGTTTTAAGCTTTATTACCCACATGGAATTAAACAAGGATTCTGAATATGATAGAGAATAGACTTGTATTCTTAAAAGGGTATGGTATGATATATTTGACTATCTGGAGCTAGCTCACGCCCATCTACATAACCCGATCCTCGTCTACTTCAACATCCCATCTACGTAAATCCTACCACATCACCCACCATAAGCCTCTGCCACTTCTCCACACACTCCCCAATCCTAACCAGCACCCCAGCGGCCAACAACCTCCTCCTCTCATCCTCCTCGCTTCCCGCTGCAATCCCTTTGAAAATCCCATCAACCCACTCTCTAGTCTCCAATAATTCCCTTCCATGTCTCTCCGCTAGTCCCCTAAGATCTCCCTCATTAATCTCCAATATCGTCATAAAAGAAAACAACAATGCTTCTTGTACCACTACATCCGAAATAGCCTGTGTACGCAAGCTCAGACAAAGATCCCAGAATTCGCTCGTCATTTGCGGGAGACTTAGTGTTGATTGACCTGAAGAATGAAGGATTATACTGAGGGTTTTGAGGAAGAGACTTAGGAGATAGGGTTGAAATGCTATATTGGAAGAGGAGTTTGAACCGTAGGCTTTGAGATGGATGAAGAAACGACCGGTTAGAGGAAAGAAAAAGGATGTGGAAACTATCTTAGCGAGGGCGTTGGAGATGGGTTTTTTGCGATTTTTTTCGACTGCGAGACGGGAGGAAAAGGTGCGGACCTTGAGGATGTTGGGGCCGCTTAGATTGTCCGCTGTCTGGGCAGCGAGTGGGGCAAGAAAGGTATTTTTGAGGCTGATGGTTAGAGCTTCAACGGGGTTGGATGTTGCAGTAAGAGTTGGTTTTGAAGGAGACGGAGAGTAGTATTTGTGCATTGCTGCTGGGAGCTTTTTGGACGGAAAGGAGGAAGATGATGAAGATGAGCCTGTGCTATCGATGAGAGATTTATCTTCGGAACCATGACCGCCCAATTCTCGAGCTCCCAGACCAAGAGTGGTGAGGACAGCCGCGCGCTGCGATAAAGAGTAATCACCATCGAAAAACGTTTTTGAAAACCATTGACCCATTTTCTCGGGTAATGCGATGAGAATAGCGATCATAGCTTGAGAGCGCATCTCCTGAAAGCTCTCAATGTCGTATTTGTCCTGTAGGCCAACTAAAAGGGTTGCGATTTCCTCAGCGTGAGAACTGACTTCTGTGCCGAAGTTGGCTTTTCGCCGTATCAAGGAAGCTGCAGTGGAAAGTGCTAATTTTTGGCGATCGTAGTTTTCAGTATCCCGCATATAGGTGATGAGATCACGGATATAGACAGGAGCCGTTGGTTTATTTCTTATGATCAGTGTTGGATCTTCATCTGAGTCTTCAACATCTGAATCAGGTTTAGCATAAGGAATGAGTCCATCATCAGAAGATTCTACTTCATCATCGTCTTCAATTTCTTCGATGGCGATTATTTTAGAATTTCCTTTGAGGGGGTTCGGCTTCGACCCGGGTTTGTTCTTTGCAACTTTCGTGGGTTTTGACGTCTCAGGAACGAATTTTGACTTTAGAGGCTCGAGATTGCCAATTGTGTCTGATACATTGACCAAGCTCTTATACCATTTTGCTTCGGGTGTTTCAGTATCGTCGATCTTAAAGTCCATAACCTTATCATCCTTGTCGACCAAACTAGACAAAGCTTCTCCGATGACCATACCTAAGAAGCGTGCTCGAGGTGAGGTCGCAGCTAATCTATTCGAAACTACACTCAAATGAGTACCTGATCTTGTGATCATCCTAAGCCGAAGAGGCGACATTCTACAAACATATCCAGCAGATAGGAGAAGGACTTGAGCATGTACTTAGAATCGTGTTAGTAACAGAATAGTATTTGATTGTTGATGTTCATACCTTCTTGTTGTAAGGTAGGGGCATGTCTAATGTACAATGTATCACCAAATTGACTTAAACTCTTTTCCAATACGGTTTCCATGTCCTTCTTGTTTCCCGAGAGTGACGCGATTGCCGCACGTCGAACTGCTATACCTTCACCTATTCCAGCTCCCGAAGAGTTTGTCAACCAAGCTATGAGATGATCCTTTCGTGGCTCACTCTCAGATATTAACATGTTAATGAGCTTAGCTGCAGCTGATATGATGCTTGTGTTTGCTTGCCACCACTTATCATCATCCTCAGATGTGATATCCAACGATAAGTGATCCCGTGACAGTATATTTAAAAATGTATGTAGTAAATTCCGTTGTTCAAAGCTTGAAAGGTATCCATAAAGTTTCATGAATTTCGCTGCATCTTCCTCTTTTTGCAAAAGCAGAGAACTTAAAATCTCTTTGGCAATATTATCTGAACACCAATGAGCAACAAATCCATGTAATACAACATGTAGTCTTACCGATATGACCAAGCCTAAGACACTTCCCGAAAAGTTCACTGCAGCTTTTCCATGTCTGCTCGGCATCTCTTGGGAGAGACTTCAACCAGGATATGATATTTTGACTCAGCCATCGGCTGTAGGAGGATCCGTCGGCAACCCAGAACCTATCATTTGGTTCTTTACTGAGTTCATTAGAGATTGCCTCAGCCTCTGCCGTGACTCCAACAATCTTCCCACTTCCTATCAAAGACAAAAGCTCATTGAAAAGAGCCCTCTGCTTGGTGGGAACATTGGATGGATTAGTAATGGTGTTCCAGAGCTTTTCAATGGTGTTTTCGCCGTCCAGAACCTCGAGGCAAAGTTGCAACTGAACTTTGAGGCTTTCTTCAATGCTTGAACCTATAAACCGTCAGGCTATCCGATATAAATTTTTTCCAAATCCAATTTTGGATAGCTCACCTCCTATATTTTTCCTGTTCTCCTTGGACTGCTGTGTGAGCCGTCTTAAATTTAGTAATATTGCATTCATACCTGTTACACTTCGAATGGAATTCAACAGTAGTTTGAGGATATGAGACTGCTTATTTTTCCTGGATTTGCCATTTGATTCATGGAGAATACTCCAGTAGTTCGGTATGACTTCAGACACCAGAACATGTACAAGTTGAGCAGCTAAAGGACCTGGGGAAGTAATAATAAAAGTTGTTTCTTTTTCGAGAAATTCCAGGACTGACTTCAAATCATCAAAACTGGGTTGATTTTTCAAAGTCTCCAATGCTTCGCTGGTACTTGATATGTGTATAGGATTTGAACGAGATTCATTTGCCGGCTGGATCAATGACGATGAAGTAGAAATTTCAACGAGAGCATTTTCACGGTTTTGCTCTTGCTTTTTGTAAACTATACTCACAGGTGTGAGTAAACCATCCATAGCTACATTGACTTTGGCCCAAAGAAGGACTTTGTGTAAATTTTTGTAGATTCAAGAACTTTCGGGTTCTCGCATTAGTCTATAACTCACAATGCGGGCGGTCGCGGCTAGAGCGTCTGTGATAGCGCTTATGAGCTCATGCACATCGATAAGCAGGATCATTCCAGCAGCTCGGAGTCTTCTTCTCAACAGCAAGCTCCTTGAACGCGAAAATAACTGGAGAGACTACGGCTTTTTCAAGTGCTCCAGTCATGTCCACTCAGCCGCTCTCGCGATGGTAAGGCCACTATCTCGACTTATTTACCACAAAGCTAACTTTCTAAAGGACTTATCTAGACAATATCCGTCGAACTCCTGGGCCATTCACTGACGAGGATTTCAATGGCAGTGAGGAGGCAACTGCATTTCTTGACGGGTTGAAGATCCTGTAAGTCAAATATTTTGATGAGGGACATAAATACAGTTACTGACACTTTTGTAGGGTAATGTTGGCTGCCTAGGAAATTCGCCAAACGGAGCTCAGAGTGCTAATAAGAAACAGAGGCGCAGGAGGGCTGGGTTGTGAAATCTTGAAGAATTTGGCACTATCAGGATTCAAGATGATACATGTGATTGATATGGGTATTTTTATGGTCATCACATTCCCTTGGAGCATTCAGACTAAGCTCTTGTAGATACAATCGATGTCTCGAATTTAAATCGACAATTTCTTTTCCGCCACAGCGATGTTGGTAAATCCAAAGCCGAAGTTGCAGCAAAATTCGTGGAGAGACGAGTAAAGGGAGTCACAATCGTACCGCACAATTGCAAGATTCAAGACAAGGATGAGGCATTCTATATGCAGTTCAGTATTGTAGTATGTGGTCTGGATAGTATTGAAGCTCGGCGATGGATCAATTCTACTTTGGTAGAAATGGTAGATATGGACAATCCGGAAAGTTTGAAGCCATTGATAGATGGAGGCACCGAAGGTATTGGAGACATTCCAGCCACTACAAGCAAAGATTCTAATGATATTATTAGGTTTCAAAGGCCAATCTCGTGTCATTCTTCCAACTATGACCTCATGTATTGAATGTCAACTAGATATGCATGCGCCAAGAGCCGCAGTTCCTCTCTGTACTCTCGCAACTATTCCCCGCCAACCGGAGCATTGCATCGAATGGGCGCATATCATGGCATGGGAGCAAGAGAAGCCATTTCCAAAGCTAGATAATGATGATCCTGAACATATTACCTGGCTCTATAAAAAGGCTTTGACGAGAGCTCAAGAGTTTAATATCCCAGGTGTTACATATTCTCTGACTCAAGGTGTTGTCAAAAATATTATTCCGGCAATTGCTTCGACCAATGCTATTATTGCAGCCAGCTGCTGTAATGAAGCCTTCAAGATTGCGAGCAGCACAAACCCTGCTCTTGGGATGGAAGAAAACTATATGATGTACAGTGGAAACGACAGTATTTACACATACACCTTTAAACACGAGAAAAAAGACGATTGTCCTGTGTGCGGGAATTTGGCGAGGGATTTGAGCATCGACCCAAATTTGACTCTCCAAGAGTTCATTGATTCTCTTGCTCACAGACCAGAAGCCCAACTCAAGAAACCGTCAATTCGTTCGGCGGACAACAAATCTCTGTACATGCAGAGCCCAGAGAGCTTGCGTGTGAAGACCGAGCATAATTTAACGAGGAAGATGGGAGAGATGACTGGAGATGGAGATGAGATTGCGGTGACGGATCCATCATTAGGTTCAGTGATGTTCAAATACAGACTAAACTTCTCAAGGCCATTTGAAAATGTTGCCGGGAAAGAGAATGGATCAGATTAGGTGGGCAGGATAGGAATAACGACGAACGAATGATGAGCAAAATGAGGTAGAATTAGCGGGATCATGGCAAAAGGGTTTCGCATAGTTTGCGTAGCTACTCATAACTGGATTATGAGAAATGATATCATTTAAGTAGCGTCGATTTTTTGGTTATAATAAACTCTCTAGAACCTAGATACCTCTTTATCCGCGAGTGGACCGACCAACGCCATATTTCCCAAACTCCGACAATGCTAGTGGCAAAATCAACCCCCTATATCTCTTTAATTACTTCGTCATATTCTGCAAACTCGTCTTGAAAGCTTCACACTTTGTTCTCAGTGTCTTGATGGACTCCAAAAACAACTCATCGCTATCCCATTGTCCCAAACTCTCGATCGAGTAAATGAAATGATCTCTAACTCTTCCTAATTTGACCTTGCCTTGGAATTCCTCGTGTCTTAAACATTCTCTGCTGACCGTATCCCTCATGGCATCTACCACTACTGCCTTCTTCTCTCCTTCATGTCCTTCATATCCACTTCCCTTGATCTTGGCCTCCTTCGGTGTGACTTTCTCAATGCCAATAACCCCTGGCGGGAAACATTTTTTGAATTTTTCTGCATCTTTACCCAAAATTGGTTGGGTAATATCGATTACTGGCAATAATCGATACGAAGCTGTAGCTACCGGTGAGAATTTGGCATGATCTCTTCCAATTCCTTTAATCGCATGCATATCAATATCAATTACTTGACCCGGTCTCATCTTCGCTATCAAAATATCTGGATTGGGACTCCTGATAGCGTTTTCGCCGCTGAAATACTCGAGTTGTCGTCCGAAAGGCTTGAATTCGATATCCTTCGCATATACATGTGCATTGTGGTATAGTTTTCTTGGGTCAGTTTCACCGGAAGCAGCTTCCTTGTTGCGCGTACATTCGACTTTTAGAGACAATTGAATAGTATTGTGGTCAAAGGAGCCGAGGTGACGTTCTTCTTCGGGCGTTTCTTCCTCAGGCTTTTGGAACCATTTCATGAAATCTAAGAGTCCTTCCTTTCCCCCCTTGAATGGCACGAGACCAAGACGACCGCAGAGAACTTCATCTTGAATGACGGATGTGTTGTTTTTCACGAAACAATATTCGATAGCAAGAGTAGGTATTTCTGCAATGAGGATTCGACGGAAGGCATTGGCGACAGAGGCATCGATGCCGATGAGGGAAAATGAAGAGAGAAGTGGCTCGTTTTGGTGAAATACTATTTGAAGATTCTCACGGAATTTGTTTTTATCCCAAGAATGATCTTCGTTTGGCCAATGGTTTGGAAAATCTGTGGATGTGATGTTCGTAACAGTTTCGGTGTTTACTCCTACTATCTATGAAGGCATTAGAGTGAAAATCAGTAAGCATTAAAAGAATCAGTACCTTTCTGGCTGCTACTTCCTCCTCAGAGAAAATTTTAGGTGGAGGGACATCAGCCTTAGTATATCTTGGTGCCATCGTGTATAATTCTCAGAATCAAAAAATATTCAATGGCGGGGCCTTGGGTCTTTCACTCTCTGTCGCAAAGATTCTGAAGATACAAAAAAATAAATTTTGATATCGGCGTCAAGATCAACCGGTGCCGACCCATGAGATGAGTAACCACCAATCAAACAGCCTCAAATAAGCAAAGCTAAACAAAAGATCCGAGCTCAAGAAGTCATGAACATCATCTACTCTGTTGATAACCAAAAGAGGCGAACGTTAAAACGGTTTCACTCTCCACTCCACAGTTTCATTGTCTCTCAAAGCATTGAGGTCTGGTAAATATCTCCAGTATCTCTTCAGTTTTGTTCACAATGCCTGCATCACTATTTCGGCAGGCCGGGCGCACAGCTGCCAAATGCTCGTTGCGACCCACCACTACCCTTCGTCCCTCAACCTCAAGAGCCTCAATTCGAGCATTCTCAGCACTCGCAGCACGTAGATACGCAGAGCCATATGAGGGCACAAAATTAGTTCCTACCGATGAACATTTCGGAATTGTCAATACTTATGATAATGCAAGCTTAGCTCACGAGAATACGCAGGAAGGCGAGCATGTGGAGAAAAGGAAGATTCGCCATTATACAGTTAACTTTGGTCCTCAACATCCGGCAGCTCACGGTGTGTTACGTTTAATTCTGGAGCTCAATGGAGAGGAAATCGTGCGGTCAGATCCTCATGTCGGTTTATTGCATCGTGGAACCGAGAAGTTGATCGAATATAAGACATATATCCAGGCCTTACCATACTTTGATCGATTGGATTACGTTTCTATGATGACCAATGAGCAATGTTTCTCTTTGGCTGTTGAGAAGTTGTTAAATGTTGAGATTCCTGAGAGAGCAAAATGGATCCGAACGCTTTTTGGTGAAATTACTAGAGTTTTGAATCATCTCATGTCGGTTTTGTCTCACGCAATGGATGTTGGTGCTCTTACACCTTTCTTGTGGGGTTTTGAGGAACGTGAGAAGCTTATGGTAAGAAATTTCTATTATTATGACTTTTGACTATTTAAAAATGTGATGATGCTAATATCCACCGTAGGAATTCTATGAACGAGTTTCGGGAGCCCGCTTGCACGCTGCATATATTCGTCCAGGTGGTGTCCATCAAGATATCCCAGTTGGACTCCTTGATGACATCTATCAATGGGCCACTCAGTTTAGTGATCGTATTGATGAGACGGAAGAACTACTTACCGATAATAGAATTTGGATTGGAAGAACGAAAGGAGTTGGTGTTGTTTCAGCCGCCGATGCTTTGAACTTAAGCTTTACTGGTGTCATGCTCCGAGGAAGTGGTGTTCCATGGGATGTCCGTAAGAGTCAACCATATGATGCATATGGCGAAGTAGAGTTTGATGTACCAGTCGGTGTCAACGGTGATTGCTACGATCGATACCTCTGCAGAATGGAGGAATTTAGACAATCCCTGCGAATTATTCATCAATGTTTGAATAAGATGCCAGCTGGACCAGTCCGAGTAGAAGATTACAAGATCTCGCCGCCACCTCGTGCTGCCATGAAGGAGAATATGGAAGCACTCATCCACCACTTTTTGCTATTCACCAAGGGATACACTGTTCCACCTGGAGAAACTTATTCCGCAATTGAGGCGCCAAAGGGCGAAATGGGTGTGTACGTTGTAAGTGACGGAAGTGAAAGGCCATACCGATGTAAGATCCGCGCGCCAGGTTTCGCCCACTTAGGTGGATTCGATCAAATTTCGAGAGGACATCTGCTTGCTGATGCAGTTGCTATCATTGGTACTATGGATTTGGGTAAGTTGCTATGAAAACATTTGTCGCTTCGCTTGTAGATCCATGCTAACATACTCGCAGTCTTCGGAGAAGTTGATAGGTAGTCGGGGTTCCAATAGAAAGGAAAGTGAGGAAAGAAAATTAGATGCCGGTGATGGTACAGTTGTTCTAAGCGAATCTGGCGCAAATTTTCTCTTTTGTTCTCAATGTATAAATTCTAAGTGAAAGGCTGAGTTAACATAGTTTCCAGCTTTTCCAGCTTTTCACCATATAAATGACCCGTTCAAACAATATCCTTATTTGCTTGAGTACTTACTTGAAATTGCGCGTTCATGCTTGATTCCTTCACATTGCTGAGTTTGGTCGCGGCACACTACTGATGACCCTTGGTGTACGTAAAAGGGAAATGTTCATGGGTGCGGGCGTAATCTCAAAAGGCATTCGAGCCTGGCCTTGAGTAGTTGCTTGCCTGTGAAAATCAGCTCGGGCTGGACCTTCGGTAGTAGTTGCCGCATCCATTTGAATTTGGCTAACCGATTGGCTAGTCCTTGATCGTTGGACCGCGTTGCGTTGACCATTTCCATTTCGCATATGGCGTCTAGAAGCAGGAGGTGTCTCGTTGAAATATCTTGGAGCAGTTGGAACGGCTGGAGGCATTAGAACAGAGTCTCCTAGATACGGAATCTGCGGTGGAAGTGGTGGTAAATCATAGTGCGAAGCGTGCCAAACCATTCCTGCACCGGCTGCTCCACCTGGAAGTGGTGAGATTGTAGGTGCACGGATGAAAGTTCCCATTGTTTGATGATCGGTCATTGAGACGGAGCCAGGGCCTTGAGTTCGGCTTTGGGGAGAGTCATTGGTAATGGCATTGGGTTGATGCATGCAGTAGCCTACGTAGTTATAGGCGTTCCTCTGAGCGTTGAAATCGATGTTTTGGTGCTGTGGATAGGGGATTGGTTCTGCAAATTCTGTGGGAGTTGGATATTGAATTCTTGTTTGAACTGTTTGATTGTATGATCGATGATCCATGTTACCAGTGAGTGCCTTGGGCTCGGTATTGGCACCCCAAGAATACTGGTTCCCGCGACAGACGCTACTATTATTGCCATCGCTGTAATTAGAAGGTGCCTTGGCCGGACTTTGATAGCTTGGAGAACCTGCGGGTGCAGGTGGCGGCGGTGTATGGATCATTCCACAGGAATGAAGTGAATGATTGTCAATCCCCTGATTACCGTGGATGGGATGATTTGTTGGATACTCACCCATGTTGTTCATTCTTGGCGAAGGAGGAATGATCATCATGTTTCCGTGCATTGGGGATGAATTTGTCATAAGTGGTGGGTTTGAAATGGGTATTCCGTCTGTGACGCCTGTCATGAGGTTCATGTAGCCGTGTCCAATGTTGCCCAGTTGGTTAGCTACGTCAAAATATTGGTGCAAGGAGGCGGGATCGGTAGGACGCGGGTCAAGATATTCTGATGAAGCAGCGCCCATTGTGAAGTGGCCATTAGACCCTCGCATAATGCCCGTATCTTCGCGGCTTTCTTCCATTCTTCCATTTCGTCCTTCGCCGTTGTTCTTATTGTCGATCTTATCTGTCACCGCATCCCGGCCTCTTCCTCTGCCGTTCGTTTCAACCTGCATTCCATCCCTCACTCCACTTCTCTCACGCTCCATCCTCAGCTCCTAGCCCTCAATTCCTCACCACTCTCCTCAAAGCCCTAACCTCTCTCCCTTTCCTTCTGCCTCTCTTCCCCATTCTCTCTCTAACTCTCTCCCTCCTGTCTCAATTCTCTCTCCTTCTCCCTACGTTCCCTCTCCGCCCTATCAAAAACAACCTCACAGCTACATTCTCCGCGCTCGTGTCTTTCCCTATGAGCATTCTCCTCAGCTATAACCTGCATATTCCAACTTACCCGCATGCAGCCGTGACAGAATTGGTTGGCGAACACCGGCTGTTCGGCCATGATGGAGCAGGGAGGGAAATTCTCGTTTTGGGAGGTTGTTGGGCATTTGACGATGTTGGAAGGACTGCAGTGGCCGCAGGTGTAGCCCCAGAACTTCTTGACGCACATGATGGGCGGTTAGGGTGGTTTGAGGGTGATGATTATGTAAATATCGATAGCTGGTGGTGTTTGTGAGGGGAACTTCAAAGGTTTGTGCGATTGGTTGCTTGAACAGGTATGTGCGGGTATTCTGGTATTATTGTGTGTGATGAAGGTGCTTGATTGATCTTACTACCGCAATCGCTGTTGTATTGAAGGGATCAAAGGAATTAAAGAAGTTGAAAAGATAAAGATAGGGGTTTAGGTTGAAGCTCGAGGCTTTTGTTAGAAGTTCTGCGTATTAGCCTGGTGAAGGGGAACGATTTGAGGTGAGTGAATGGGAGTAGTAGTATTGTCGAATAATAAGTAAAATTTGTAAGTTATTGCCAATCAAATCGCCTGATTCGTATGTCTGTCACTGGTTCTATTGCGTAGCCAGCGTCATCGGAAGAGTTATGGGTCGTTCTTGCACGGAGAATCGATTTGTATGACCTGTTTTAATGAGCATATTTAGATTAACATTGTGGTGAAGAGGGAAAAGAGATAGTGGGCACGGATCGGCGATGTAAAGAGTACGTACCTTGGTATGCAAGAAGTTCAAAGGATCAGTAGTGGTTCATGGAGAGTACGCTTCTGCTGTTAAGTACTGTTAAAACTTTGTGTCAGTGCTTGATTATATTGTGCAAGAAGTACCAGAGTTCATAATAGTTGTGTTGGATCTTGAGAGTTTCAAGAAGCAAGTTAGGAATCAAAGGCCCTCAATATAGCCAAAGAAGCGCTTGAGGTCCTCTTGTGACTTGAAATATCAACAGTGTTGATACTCAATGATCCAGAAATCGTTAGATGCTGTCAAATCTTTGCCTGGCTTCTAGATTAGGTTTTATTAGAAGTGCTATAGTCTACCGGTGTGCGATCTTGGGGGTGGCTCGATATAATGGGAGAAAATGAGGAGGCGGAGAAGGAGGATGAGGATACCTTTGAAGAGAATATCTGGGTTCTTTTATTGATCCGCGAGAGAGTATGCGACCGGACAACCTAATCTGTGAGAGGGCTGGGCAATTAGCTCAGTATCTGTGAAGCCGCCTCCTTCCAAAGCGGCGGGAACAAGCAAGTTAGTTGGAGTTCTTGTGAAGTGATGTTCTGGAATTTCGACGGGATTTAGGACGTAATTAGTGTTGTCTCCTTGGAAGCAAGAAGCAGCTCCGCAGATATTACTTTATGACCAAGTCCTTCAAAGGGTGGGCGACACCGGAGAGATAAGGAGGTGAATCAAAAGAAAATAAATGACAATAGTGGAGGTCACGAGGACTACTGTTGAGGTTTTCTTCTAGATCTTTCTGATTTTTCCTTCTGATATTGCGGGATGAGGGGTATTAAAGCGGGGACTTAAGTTAGAATAGCTGTTCTTGCGCCATTGAAACTCTCGATAGAGAAGGAGCTGTTGAGCTTTTAATCTGTTGGGAATATGCAGGTTTAAAAGGTTTGTTTGTGGATTATTTTCGATGATTGGGAGGGCTATTCGAGGAATATGATGACCTGGGTGCTTGTGTCTCCCTTGTTTGATGGAGTCTGTAGAAGTTTGCAGTCACCAAACTTTTACTATTAAGATGAATGTTTTGTTAAATTTGTACATTGTCATCGGATATCTATCCGGAGATGTCTATTTATTTGTCAAATTTGATGCTAAAATGATCAAAATTGGAGAAAATAGCACATTGAATGAGTCTTCTCCAGTGAGGCCATCACCCAATACAAAACTTCATATTTGAAAATAATAGAGGAGCAAAATATGTAGGTGATAAACTGAATGGAAAAGAGATGAAGAAATTATTGTTGAAAGGAAAGTAAGTGAGATGTACACCATTAAATGAATTGTACTGGAATGAAGATAAAAGTACCTGACTTTGGCAGTTTTTTTTAAGTTTAAATGAAGATGGAAAAGGGAACTTGAGGGAGTCATCTGGAAATAAAGGGCAAGGTATGAAAGTTAGAGATTTGAAGAATCTTAAATGCTAGAATTAGGTCAGTATTGATGAAGTAGAAAGAGGCCAATAGATACACTGATGTGTTCAAGCTCTCGAATTTAATATCTAATAGGTAAGAATGTAAATTATTCATGAAGGAACCTATCTTTCGGAGATATAAAGCTGACGAATATAAAATAGAAATGAATATTACTTGATCAGGAACTTTACTTCTACTTCTTTTCGAACTCTGGAAATCATCCAAGGAGAAACTTCTCTTTAAAAACTATGAAGCTGGTCGAGTCAAGATGACAGCGAATATAATAATGTTAAAAAGTTTACTTTGAATTTCTTTTTCAACCTCTCGAGGCAAGGTTCTGGAACAGATGTGAAATTGTTTAAGAAGGAATCTAAGATCTTACCTTTTTATGACCATGGATCTGAAAGTGGAAGACTGAAGTGATTGTTATCATGAGAGAGATTTCGAGTTTCATCTTCTTTCGAACCCTCAAGAAAAGATGTAGTAGGCAAGAATGGAGGTTGTGTAGGAAGATCCCTTTATTTAAGGACACAAATCTGAGTATACAAAATAATAGTAAGTACTTCCTTGGTGGATATTTGTCTTGCTACTCACTCACTTTAGGAAGCTGAGGACAAAGCTATTGGGTAAGAGCAAATATTGTCTATCTTACTACTTCCTAATAATTATATTTTTTAAAAACTTTGGTTTGAATCATTTTCGACTTTTTTCTTACATAAGATTGAGTAAGCAAGGGTGAATACAGATTGGGCAAGACAACCTCTACTGCTGAAATATGACAGGAAATCTTTGATGTCTTTGAAGAGAAACTTAGAGTTCTACAAGGCCGGTCTCACAGTTAAGGAATTTCAAAGCATAATGCACACAATTTAGAATTCGAGCTTACTTTACCCATCAAGAGTGGGCATGCCACTCCTGAAATAGCATCAGCGTTTGATTCATGACATTTTTTGTTTGCTTCTTGGCCTTATTGACTCGTTCAGTGTGTTTTAGACAATTTGAGGTTATATAATATGAATAGAACCAATTCGGGATTGAAATAATCGTGATTTTAGATCTTGAGGGATCAAGTTCATTTCATGAAGCCGTGCATTCCGTCTCGTGGATTCTGTGAATTAAAGGTAAAGACTATTTCCATTCGTCGTTGATGGCTGTTTTGATATTATATTTGAGTAAAGGTAAGGTTAGGGCTAGAAAAAGCAGTGAATGCCTATAGCTTATTTCACAGACTAACTTACAACCTGCACATTCTCACACCTACCTTATGTGAACTCGCCTCCTAAATTCAACTACAATTCCATAATTTGACTTATAATGTTGATACAAGAGCAATATATAATTTTGTACACTGTGATGAGCACAGTGTTTGTATTCCACTAATCAAATTGATTACATCCAAAGTATTGGGAACCACCCAACAGACTCTTCTATCAGGCACTTACTCACAACCCTACTAATGACTTTCAGCAGAGACTTTTGAGGAAAATTCAACATAAATTAAGGTTTCACCTTTTGAATTGATAAGCCTTTTGTCTTCAGACGAGCAGAACTACATGATGTAGACATCATTTCCGACTGCAGCATTATTTGTGCCGTAGCACTACGTGTTCCGGCATACCCATCATTTAGTACCCGTTGTGATAAGGGATCAATATGACTTTAATTAGTTGCTAGTTGGAGAGCAAGAAGACAAGATGCAGTATTAAAGTGAACTGAGTTTGTGGAATGTTTGCGGCACGGTATTGATATGGCCACCGCTGGTTTGCGAGGCACAGAATTTCGACATACCTAAAGACTGTACCTGAGCTCAGATAATTGCCAGGCTTCTCGTATACAGTTCTTATGCCTCTTGGAAATTTGAAATGCCAACAATGATGATATTATCCCTTTTCTGCAATGACTAAGGTTTCTGAATAATATGCTAGTCATCAATCGGCCCGGCCTCCAGTTTTAGCTAGCCGGCGGCTGTTGAGCTCACGAATAGATACAAATGCTTTATTTAGTAACCATAATTGAAAATAGACCAATGTTTTTTCATTTTTATTTTTATTTCTTCCAAATCCAGTTGGGGACCACTGTCTGGATTCACTTGTACACAAGAAGAAAAGATGATATTGGAAATTTTTCTTGCATGAACATTTATCTGATCAGTCCAAACCTCTAGAACAATTATATCAATAAACAGTAAAACTTTATTGTTCTCGAAGGTTGAATTTCTTTGAACAATGATAAATTATGTGTTGTATAGGGAAAAAGAAAGGGGCAATCATTAGCCGAGAGTTTGCTTAGCGCCGACTCATTAGAGAAAGAACAACTACATTTCATGTCATCATGACTAATTACTTGCTTATCAAGGTTGGAAATAAGTTTATGGTTGAGACTCCATAGAAATACAGTTTGGAGGTAGTTTAGATTACAAATTGTCTGATGAGTGAAAGTTAGTAGATGGAGCGACAAGACATATAGACCTCGAGCTCCAGCCAGAGATTGAATATGCTATGCATATTTTGAACGAATGGAAGAGGCTTATTTCCCACCCAAAATCTTTGTTGCATATCGTAAAATTCCCGCTATCCTCCATCACCAGCAGAGGAACAGTTACGAGCGGAAGCCTTCAATGCTAGAGGGAATTATCAAGCTTCGCCAGAGATTTCGCGGAGCTTCCGCTGCGTATTTAAGGACATTGTGAAGTCTCATCATCTCACTTATTCACTTATTACTCTGTAAATAAAGCTGCTTCCTCTCCTAATAGACATGTCTCTTCATTCTCATCCCTAATCTTAACATTATCCTTATAATAGATTTACTTTCGAAATCGAATTTATCATCGAGTGGTGCAGCGTGACTCTGCTATGAAAATTCTATCACAAAAGGTTGACATAACTTCATAAATTCGACTTCGCTATCACACCACTGAAATTCCTGGGATTATCACAATTTATTTTCAGCAGTATTACTGTCACCATATACTTCATTACCGATTTCAGCATAATATTGGGCAAAAACCTCTCCTTACTGATGACAGCAAAGAAGATGAATAGGAATACGCCTGAATTCATCTCTTATCTCCCTCAGGACTTCTCTTCCCTTTAAAGCTATATTGTGATCAAGCACATATGTTTTCTTCCACTCCATTTGGCTTTCATTACTGATTACAAGGATGCCGTCATTTTTGAATGTGAGTTTCCATTTAGATAGTGGCTCATTAGATGAGCTATGAGGTCAACTTTTCGAATGTCTACCTCAAAGTCGCTAGAAAGATTGTCATGCTAGATGGACTCTAATGGTCCAGTCCATGAAACGTTTTAACAGACTCAATCTATTTTCTCAACCTAAGACTATGAGGAGTCTCTATCTAACTAAATTTCACTCCTCCATAACTACAGCTACCATAGTGCAGCAACCGATTAGAGAGCAGTGAATGCCTCTCTTCCCTCTGTGAATCATCAGACTAGACTGCGTCATCTACATATCTAAAGACAAAATCCCGCTCACAATCACTATATATCTCACCATATAGGTTTCAATCTAAAGTCTGCAACGCAAGAGGATCTAATATCATTACTCTAAATCCCTACAAAAATACAGTAAAAAACACTCAACAGCTTTAGAACATTTCTCTCACAAATAATCCCTCATTAAAATATCACTACGTCACCACTTCAAGCCCAAACCAACAAATCACTATTAAAGAGACAAGAGACAACTATGGATATCCAGTACAAATATAGCCATACCTGCCATCATATAGCTCATGGCCCAATCCGTAAGTTATCAGACACTTCCATTTCAAACTTTGCAGTCGACTATCTCAAACGTGACCCCCGATCATTCCCTTTTCTATCCCCCACTTTCAATACCCATTACACTTTGTCCATCCTGAAGACTCCAACATCACTCTCAAACCCTACTCATACCAAATACTAATCTATCCAATCACCAATTCTAGTATCAAACCCGCTAATCTATCTTCCCCTCCTAACTCATACTCGTCCATACCGTGTCACCCCACCATACCGAACCAATCCATATCAAACCCACCCATACCAACAACTACTCCACCATGCCCCTCCTCTCCAAAACCCCCAAGCCCATCACCTCACCCTCCCCTTCCCTTGTCCCTTCTGCGCAGATCCAAATCTGCACACCCTTGTTCCCGCTGGATCAGGTATTCTAGTTATCATGACATCATCTGCGTCTGCATCCGCTGATTCGGAATCAGAATCAGAATCAGAAGAATCCTCTTCCTCATCATTTTCATCTAAATTCTCCTCCGCACATCGATCACTACCTCGCCCTTCATATAGCCTCCCACTCTCCTCTTCTTTACATCAATTTCCCCCCTTAACTCTCCACTCTTCATACACAAACCCTCCAACCCCATCCACAGACACCCCACCCCCCTCAAAATTCAACAATACCTGGAAAATCCTCCGCATCTGCGGTGTACATGATATAACAACCTCCGAATGGAACCAAGGAATATCTCTCGAAGAAAATGAAACCATAAACCCCCATTCCCATTCTCATTCCCAGCCCTCTCACTCTCACTTTCCCTTCTACCCCTCTCCCCAAAAACACCACTGGAAACACATGTCATGGATTCCTCGACCGATAGGTGATGTAGATATGCACTCTCTTCTTAGCACTAGCAACAGACCATACAGAAATAACAACAACATCATAAAAATAACACAAAAATGGACAAGAAACACAAGAGAAGATGTGAGTGGATTTGGATACCGGGGGAGAATTGGGGCACAGAGTAGATTACCGGGGATGATGAGTTTGTTGGGGGCGGTTCTGGGGAAGGGTGGGGGGATGGGAAGATGTTGAGGGGGCGAAAGAGGGGAGGGAAAGAGTGAAGAGATGATATCAGATTAGATTGGATATGATGGCCAGAACTTATATTAGTATTTGGTGTTTGGTGTTGGATTTGGGCTTGGCTATGGGTATAACGAAGGTGTCTAATATGATCGAAGGGAGGGTTTGACAAATCCAGATATAAAAAAAAGTATGAATACCAGGAATATAAAGGAACACACACCAAAATAACACGAGATTTTTCCAATATTTCCGCTGCATTTAACAACTACCTACCTTCAATTATTTCTCGAGGAATGTCTTCGAGAATGCATTTATTCCTTTACCGCTCATTCTTCTGTCGGGCTCCATTTTAGGATATCGCCTACAACCTTCTTTAAAATATTTTATCATATCATATTGCATTGTATCATGTCATGCATTAATGCATCTGCCCATATCTAAGTCATGGCATAGTCATATCATAGAAACATAGATTTCTTCCCGTAACAGCTCATGTAAACACCTGCCGATGAACAAAAAAAGAAAAAAAACAAATAAAATATTGATAGGAAGACCAGGGTAGCTCCGGATCAATAGATTAGAAACCTGCACATTTCCCTAAGATTCTAAAGTAACTTGGAAGTCAATCCCATTATACTGATTACTCAAACGGCCGTGGTATGTTAAATAGAAGAGACCTAAACACCATTCTCCCCATTATCTCTTCGTTCACGCCTTTGATGAGATCGGCGAGCCAATTCCTCGGAACCATAGACATCGCGAAAAGCTTCAAGTTGACCAGTTAGACCTCTTAACATCCTAGACATCTCGAAAGCCATCTCTTCATGAGCTGCTTCGCCTGTTAATGCGCGCACGGAAGGAGCATTAGGTAAATAGGGAAAATGTGCCATAGTATATGGAGTATTCGGATCGCGAGGATGACTGGTTGGGGGAGGAGGTTGGATTGAAACAGTTGAAGCGGTTGCGTAGTCAGAGTCTGTGTCATTTGTATCTGTGATGTAACCCAAAGTGCTTTCAGCAGCAGAGTCCGAAAAGTCCAAAATATCGGCTACGTCACGAAGAGCGTTGCCGGTTCGAAGACGAGGAGGACGATCGGCGCGAAGTGGACGTGATGTACCTTCAGGAGGGGGAGTGACTGAGGCCGAGAAAGATCCCATTTCTTCAGTTACATAGATGGAGGGTTCGCGCTCGTGAGAGGTGGCATATATGGAAGGCTCGCGTTCGTGAGTAGTGGTATATATGGAAGGTTCACGCGAGTGTGAAGGTGCATATAAAGAAGGTTCGCGTGAGTGGGAAGGTGCATATAAAGAAGGTTCGCGTGAGTGGGAAGGTGCATATAAAGAAGGTTCGCGTGAGTGGGAAGGTGCATATAGTGAAGGCTCGCGCGAGTGGGAGGTAGGTTGATACAATGAAGCATGACGCTCGAGTTCAAATGGATTGACCGTAGATGATGACATGGCTTGTCCTGAGTCGCTCAAAATCGAGATAGCATCGGAATCTGCTGTTGAGGGCCGACCAAAGTCAGGATTGAAAGCTGGGACGGAATCTGGCATACTCATATCTAGATCAATGAGAGAATCGCGAACGGATAAGCGAGACATTCCAGTGTGGATTTCTGCAGGTGGAAGACCACCACTGAATCCACCTAAAGGTTCAGTAGGATGATGAATTAATGCAGGACGGCCACCAACGCCAGGAGTAAAGGCTGGTTTTGGGACCTCATATGTTGAAGGAGGAAACCTGGAGACTTCTGGATCAGCTGATGCAGGTGGTACCATTGCTGGAAATTTCCAATCTCGCGTACGACGATTTGGGTTAATATCAGCTGGATCGCTGAGTGCTGGTCGACTAAAGTCAGGTAATGTTGTCATATAGTCTTCATCAGGTTCGTCTCGTACACGTCTTCCGGCTTTAATAGTATCCATATCCGGAAAGACAGATATACCCGTTTCTGCATCATGACCTCCAAGATCAATCATAGTATCCCTAATAGATGTTTGTGCAGTATCATCACGTAAAGGTAAATCCGAGCGAGATGGTACAGGTGGTAAATCTGAGGTTGGTGGTAAGAACGGGCGACCATAATGATTGCGACTATTATCCTCATAACTTGACAGTGTATTTGGGTCAAATATCTTTTCTAGTGGACCACGAAGTGGTGCTAGTGCTTCTGGCGGAGGTCGACGTCGTCCTTTTGGAGGTTGTGGGCGAGCAGTCTCTTGAGGAAAACCAGCATCAAATTCAACGTTTGAGCCATAAACATCGTAGACATCTTGAGCGGTCGATTTACGCCTAACTTCCTGTTCGAATGCAGCAGTAGTACTGAAATTCCATTCATCATCAGACAAAGCCGTAGAAGAGAATTCCGACGGTGCTTGCGCTCCGCCCAACATAAAAAGTGATTTTCTACTCCCGCCGTGATCCTCCCACAACTTAAATGCTCTGACGAGATGGGATAGCGAAGACATAGGGTATTTTGCACTAGTGTTGTAAATGTAAGGATGATTCTGAACCCGGTCAATTGATGGACGTTCACTCGGGAATTCTTCCAAGCAGAACGCCACGAGGTCTCTTAAATCATCTGAATAATCCCCTCCTTCAAGACGTGGAGCATGTTGTTTTATAAGGGAACCGAGCCGATCAAAAGGAAGCCGACTCATGGCATTAGGCGGAAGACCAGTGGCAATCTCATAAACCATACATCCGAAAGCCCAAATATCAACTTCTTTGCCATAGCTGGGAACAGCATCAAATAATTCTGGTGCCATCCAATGTGGTGTACCAATAACGGTCGATCTCTTGTCAACCTTCGTTTCTATAGTTCCAGCAACACCAAAGTCGCAGAGTTGAACCGCTCCTTCCTCTGTAATAAGAACATTCGCGCATTTTATATCTCGATGTATGATACCAGCTTCGTGTACCCATTTAATAGCTTCGGCAACCTCACGGAGAATAGGTATAATCCATTTTTCTTGCAAGCCACCAGGAGCGGTAGGCTTCATAAGAGTAGCGACACTTCCTCCACCACAGTATTCCGTAATCATCCACATCGCTTGCCCAACTGGCAATGCCTCGATGACATGATTGATATTCCTAGCTTTATTTTCACTTAAAGTCTTCAGAGCGGTAACTTCCTTCAAGAATTCGGCATAGGAATTGGCATTCTTGGGATTGATCGTATCGCTCTCTTCGATGTCGATGATCTTCACAGCCACAATGGCAGCCGATACCATATCCTTTCTGTATAATGTATTATTACATTGCCAAAATGACCAATAAGTGAATGATTACATACCCTTTGTAAACACGCCCAAAACTCCCCTTCCCAATTAATTCTATTAACGCATATTTTGGTGGTTCCTTCCCTGCTTTGGTTGCTGCCTCAATTACTGAAGTTTGCATTTGCCTTGCATCCTCAATAGCTTTTGTCTTGACCGAAACCGGCTCGGAATTTCCGACTTGGAGTTTATCCATCGCGGCAAAATGGACTCCTAAAGCTATGAGGCTAACGTCAAAAGGACTGTTGATTTGGTGGCAGGGTCGGACTTCCAGATGTGAGGCTGATTCCTGGGAGCGGAAGACGAGATCCAGAAGTGTTTATTTCTCGGTTTGTAGTTGGTTTGGAATTATTGCGAACAGAAGTTGACTGTGTACCTGCCACTGATATATTGACGCGGGATAAAAGAGCTGGTTGATGGATTGAGGAAGAAGGTTGTCGAAGGCGTGAGCTGATAAGTGGCTCTTGATTCGTGGATGAGCTATTTTGAGACCAGTTTTGGGGTGCTCCCAATCCAGAAGGAGACGCCTTTGCTCTGTTACCTTGAGACGAAAGAGTAGGTGCTTGGAGCTCCCTTGGAGAACTTCCAGGTTGGGGCAATTGGGAACGATATGCTATCTGAGTTGCTGGAGTACTTGAATTATGCTGTGGAGAATTTAGCAGAGAGTCAAAGCCAAAAGTATGGGCACCTCTAGAAAGTGGGGAGCCACTAGAGATGTTCCGATTATTTTGAAGTATATCCACGCGCAGTCTTTCACGTTCGACAGAATCGGGTGCAGAAATAGCTTGCTGCTCTCTGGAAGAACCGAGGATAGTAAGAGCAGGTACTTGTCTGGCAGGATTAGCCGCGGTAGGCGCGTACAATTCTCTAGTAAATCCAAACCTAGAAGATGTAGGGGCATGCAACTTCTTGGCAGTTTTCGCTGGATCGAAACTTTTACTTTCGTCTGGTCCAGGTTGCTTACGATGATTACCGTCTGGATAATGTGTTGCGCAAAGATTTTTGAATTCTTCTTCTTCAAGACTATCTCGATCCCTGGTACTTAAAATAAGGTGCCTAAGACGGGCAGTGTTGACTGGATTCTGATCTGGTCGGCGAAGGGAAAGTGATGTTGTGAACTTGGTTTGCTTTCCGGCTTCCTCCTCCTGGGATTGAAGCAGAAAAGCTTTAGATTCTTGATGAGCTTTAATAGCTGCTTTACGCTGTTCTCTACGCGCTTCTTCCCGTTGACGATTAGCAGCAAGCTTAGCTTCCTGTTTCAACGTGACTTCTTGATCAATTGATATCTTCTTCTCAGGGACTTTCTCACAAGTTGAGTCCTGGAAATAGGCACGGCAAGCACCCTCTGCGTCACAACTCTCTGCTTCGTTTAAAGCGAGCGTATCAAAATTGATCCACTTATCCGATTCTTCTCTAGTGTATTGTCCACTAGCGGAAGAAGCGTTTGATGAAACTCTTCGTGGTTGCCGACTTGGCGCGGTCTGAATTCGTTGCGGGGCAGCAGACTGTCTACTTGCCTGGTGACCTACTTTGGAATTTTGTGGACTGCGGGGAGACGAATTTTGAGCTCTGGATCCAAATGAATCTCTATGCTCGCGCAGATGAGAATTATCAGCAAAACGAATGCTTTGTAGAGACGATGTGGTTGGTGGGGATGGCTGCGAGCCACCACGTACTTCAGAAAGTGGCAGTGCGCGACTTGTCACGTGAGAAGTATACTCACCACGGTCTCTCGTGCTTCCTTCACCGGATCCTCTCGTATCGTGGAAATCTCCTGCGGCTTCTAGTTTATCGAAATCTCGCAGAAGATTATTACACGCGATTAGAACGGCTCTGTTTGCTCGTTCTGCTCGTTTTCTTTCCTTCAATATACGTGCTTCATTGGCATCTTCGGACAAAGTAGCAATGTATTCCGCTGAGGGTTTGCGGTAATCGTAATCAAAGTCGGACTTATGTGAAGGTGTAAGAGCATCATAGTATGGTCTTGGAACTGATTCTTGACTATGAATGCCCTTTGGCGTACTATCAAGCACAGGTCCTCGACCCGAGGAATAGCCGCCGCTTGTCCCCTCGTCCTGCCCCTGTGCATTCTCCTTCTGATCAGGAGTAACAAATGTAATATTATGTCTTGTTCCCCTTTCCTTCCTCAATTCACCAGTGTGACTTTGTTTGTGATGTGAATGAAGAGTATTTTTGGAGTTGCTTTGGTTGTGATTGTTTTCCGTATCAAATCTTAAAGGATCATCAACAACAGAATTGTCCTGGTTTTTCTATGAACAAATAAGGTCAGCAATTGTTGTGTATCGAACTTTGTCAACTAAGTAATGGTAGGCAAATTAAGATAAGTTAATTGAAACAGTAAACAAATAACATTTGGATATCAAAGGAATATTCATGAAACTTACAAATCCCCTCCGAAGATTATCGGAAACCTCTTCTACCTCTGAATCCCCTTCAGGAGCGCTTCGTGGTGTCCCCTCACTTTCTTCCTCTATCACTTCTTCTTCTGCTGATTTAAACAATCTAGAGAGCCTGGCCCTTATTCTCGACTGTGGCTTTACGAGAGGATCACCGGGATCATCCTGCAAGTTCTGTAAGACAATGTTAGTCAGCAACAGCCATTTATATCATTAGTTTCATCTGCAAAATCAACGTCAAACTAACTCTCAGGGAACCATATTTATCTCGATGCTCTTGCTTCTTCTTCTTTAACAACTTCAATTTCTCTCGATGCTCTTCTTGTAGTTTGTTCAACTCAGCGTGATACTTGGCAAGTAATAAATTATTATCTGCAATGAGTTTATTGGTGATCAAAGTGTCTTTGATGGTATAAGAAAATGGACCTGGTTGTGATTGATTTCTCAGTGGTGATCTTGTGGGGATGGGAGGTGCTGGCGTGTTTGACACAAGTAAAAATTTGGTGACTGTATCATAAGATGCAGTGCGGAAATCCTTGACTGAGCTAGTCTGGTTGTGAAGGTTGTGGAAGTTGTTCGAAGTCAGGCTGGAGTCTCTTCTATGAAGATTTGGAAGGAATTGGCTGAAATAATTTGGACTGAATTTCGGACTTTCATCCACAGATTCTGACCTACTCCAACATACTTGAGCACCATCCTCAGAATTTTCTATTGCTTTGTTATCAATCTTCGGAGAGACTGAAAGCTTGCCTCTCCATGTAGCATCCTTCTTCTTACATTCTAGAAACTTGCTCTCTCGTCTTTCAGAAAGAACCAATTGCTCAAGGCCATCATCACCACGGATCGCTCTTTTCGACCTTCTTCTTGAGTCGCCTCTGACTGCTATTCGACGTAAAATAGGATCGGAGGATTCAACCTCATAAATCGCAGATAAATGATCGGATCTAGCTACACTTCCCTCTGCCACAATACTACTATCAAGATCACTGTTGCCAAGCTCCGTAGTATCAGATGTGTCATTTGTATCATAGTCTGTACTTGGGATAGTAAATGATTCAACTGACTCGGCAAATGTTACCGATAGCTTTCGACGTGGCTTTTTATGGGAGCACAAATTGCTTTGGTGAAGAGGCTTGTGTGGCACTATCTCCTTCGATAAACAAGGCGTAGTTTTTCCTGTCAAGTTTTCGACCGAGGTTTCGGTGCTGTCATTCAGTCGAGGAATATGCGATGATTTCATAAATGCATGATCCCATTCATGTGGTCGTGCTTTTTCTGTGGGTAGAATTTCTCGAGGCTTTCTTTCGTCAATCATGGGAGTAGCAGCAAATTTAAGAGGCATAGATCCGGATCGATTCTCTCGTGTTTGCCTTTGACGCGCAGGCTCTAGGAGCGCCCTCCGAGTGATCGGCGGTGCTCTGCCAATCTTAGGATCATTGAGTTGCTTTCTTCCTTCCAATTGCAATCTCCTTTCCGTCGCCTTTCTAAGCTCATACTCAAATTGCGCCTGCCTAATGTGCCTCTCCCGTTCTTCTGTCGTCTCAGCGAGTGCTTGAAACTCGCTACCCAAGATTGCTCCCCTTTTATCCAATTCATTCTCTTCGCTGAGATCCTTGGCTGGAGCAATTGGCGGGATGTACCTAGCTGGAGCTGGGCTTGGGCGGTCAAATCTGTAGCCTAGCCTTGGGGTTGCCACTGGTTGACTTCTATCTAGAGGCTTGTGGACAAATTTCTTCTTTGGTTTGAACAATCTTTTTAACTTGGCTCTCAGGGGATCCTTGTCACGGATCTTGTTGTTCAGACCCTTTGGGAGGTAAGCGAACGCAGGGTCGGCATTGCGGTTTTCTTTGCGAGCGGCTCTGATTGCTTTCTTACGCGCCTCTATTTCCTCCTTTGTCGGTCCTGAAGATCCTTCAATGGTAGTACCAGATATTGACGAAGATCCAAATGAAGCTCCTCTTGAGGTTTTGGTGCGCGTCGTGTGTGCTGAAAGTGCCTTGACTGTTGATGCTAACGTGGTAGTCGATGATTTAGCTTCAGAGATGTCGCCAATCGTTTCCAGTTTGGTCTCTCTGTGCGAAACGCTGGCTTTCTTCTTCGGTATATCTCCCTGCCAGGCTAGACCTCTGGAAAAACTTCCAGAACCAGAATACCGTACTTGAGGTCGTCTTGCAAGCGGAGGCCTCTTCTCAGGCTGTCTCCGAGGCGCCATTGGTGCTGGCACCCGTATGGAAAAGCTTGGATATTGCTACAGGTGTAAATTGACTAACAGTTTGATAAACAGAATTACAATTGCAATCAATGAAGAAGGCTCGAAAGAAAGAAGCTTATATCGTGTAATAGTAGATAGACTAGTTCAATGCGGAAAGCTATAAAACTATACATTCGTTCAAATCGAGTTGGAAGCAATGTGGTGAGAATATTTCGGGTGAATAGAAGCTTTATGTTAATGATATCCTGGGGTAACGCGATTTGTTTCTCCAGGATTTCATCTTAGCCTTGGATGGGTTGGGATGAAAGTAAACAATAAGAGCTTCCGCCATCCAGATATATCCCTTTCCATCCTTCGAGCCCCTATCAATACCTTGACAAAACTGTTTTTCACCCTATACTCTTGGTTACTTTCTTGTTACAAAGAATGAGCTGTGAATCACTTTCCTTCTCCAAATTTCCCAGGTTGAAAGGGAACTTTTGCGGTTGAGTTGCTTCCTTTTGTACCTTCTCCTACTACGATGATGATCTCTTCAGCCTTATGCAGCCTGACGGCTTTCCTAGTAAAATAGTACTGTCCAAAGTGATATAGACTTCTTACCTCAGGCAGGGACTGACAAGGGTTCGAGCAGTAATATAATTCACTGTCAAGATACAATATTATTAGTTAATTTCATCATCCTTCGAGGTGCTGATTGGGGTCTTTGCCGAGCAGAGATTTCCATTTTCCATCTAGTGTTTCATAACAAAGACTTTATAGTTGCTACTCCTTCTGTAAATATGTTGAGAACTTGTAAGTGACTGTATATACCTATCGAAAATAACTTCCTTCATATCTCTTTTGGATATATCTTCTGCTAGACTCATCATATCAGCAACACTTACTGCCTTTATTCTTTGAAGTCTTACCTTTATATTCGAAGAATTGCTTACTATGGAAGCAGTTGAGACCTCAAAGATCTGCTAAAACCTTGCTACTATGCAGTTCAAGTTCAGGTAGCAATAGTTGCTTGTAAGTGTTACTTTTCTTCTTCCATTGCCCCTTCCCCCTTTCATCTACTTGAATACAAATGGAGTTTGTTCTAATGGCTGTGGTTGGTTTGTAAGTTGTCTACCTGAGCTCTTTAGCGGAAAGAAAGCCTTTTATGATGCTGTCATTGTATATTCACCTCAGACTCCTTCCTTGAGAGCAACTTCATCATCACAATTAGAAATCAGCAGATGAACAGCAGAGGAACAAGAGACTGTTATTACTCTACAGTCTTTTTTGTGGGGTGAAAGAGCCTAGCTGTTGATAGATCTGCTGTTCTGCCGAGTCATTACCTCTTTCTTTCGGTTCAAGAAATCTCGAAAACTTAATCAGTCTGTTTGGCATCTTGCTAACACCTTAAGACAGACATTAGATTATGTATAGGCTGACGAGCCGACGTCTTCGAAAACAACCATATCTTTCATACTCATAGAACTTCTGTGGCCTTGTCGATGATAGAATAGATCAGAACTTGGTAAGTTCTTTCAAGTTACAATCACAAAACACAACACAACACACGCCGATATCATCTAGCCTACCTAGCCATTGTCCGTCCTGCTAGGTACAATACTCCGTTAATTGACGTTAGCCGCTGTAATTAATGCTTGGAAGACCTCAGATCGTGGTAAGTTTCTCTTCAAGTTCTGCCTGTCTAATAGCTGCTAATAACTTACAGTCACACCCCAAAACATCAAAAGCATGTCGATATTCTTTCTGCCAGCCTCTGTCGATAAAGCCCGTGAAATAGTACTTGGTAAGTTCTTTTGTTCAAGTCCTACTGGAGGATAGCTGCTAATATGCTTGGAATAGCTCGATTGATGAAGGTCACGTCGACATTGTTACTGCTAGCCGCTGGTCAGCAAACTCGCAAGATATTAGAACTTGGTAAGCTAGTCTCCCAAGCATGAGACATATAACTATAAATTCAGATCCTAACATCACCTACAGATTATTCTTTGACAGAAAGGATATCGAAAAGGTTTCAGCTGATTGCTTGTCTTTTCTGTCATGTCCCACCTCCAAGACTTCGAACACTTCGGACACCATGAACTTCGAAGAAAATATCGCAACTTGGACTACAGTCATACCTAACTACCCTCACAATTCCATGTTACTCATAGTGGTACAGTTTGTTGCCGATTTAACAAATTCTTTCTCTCTGTTCAATTCTTCGGTGTCCATACTTCAATCTGTGTTATCATGAACATCGACATCAGCTTTTGTTACCTAGG